CCAACAACTGGTTTTAGAATAAATGTGTTTAATTCCGATGCAAAGACCCTATGAGTGAATCAATATTAAAGCCAAAATATGCAATCTTTAATGACCTGACAACAGTATCGTAACTATATCCCTTCTGAGTAATCTGTTTAAAGGTTTTGTTAGCTTTTGAGGTGAATACTGACATTTTTGTGCTTTGTAAAGAATATTACCATAAAAGATTGGATGTGAAATACCCGAACGTATAAGATATCTGCATGTTGAGTTATATTTACGAATGATGTCCTTATACCGATGATAAAATTTAGTAAATGTTTTGACTAGTTTATGATATCGAAAACCCTGGTGTAATAATTGTTCAGTAATACATAAATTTCTCTCGCTAAAATCTAATACGTTGTTACATACACGAGCGAATCGTACAAGTTGAGATATATAAACACCATAAGATGGTGACAAGGGAACGTCACCATCTAAAAATGGATAATTAACGATAGGAAATGAAAAATCATCTCTTTTATCATAAATTTTTGTATTAAGCTTCCCGCTAATGATATAGATATCAAGATCGAGGAAAGGACAGTGGTCATTGTTAGTATTAGCTTTATTTAAAGTAAGTTCAACAGGATAAATTTCTTTAGTATACATACTGAAGTCGTCATTATTGAGAGCCAATATATCATCCAAATAACTAAAAGTATTGTTAAATTTTTGTATCAGATGTTGTTTCGATGGGTCTTTGCTGATTTTAGTCATAAATTGTAACTCATAACAATACAAAAACAGGTCCGCAATAAGTGGTGCACAGTTAGTCCCCATTGGAATTCCGATAACTTGACGATATACGGAATCTCTAAAGCGAACAAAAATGTTATCAAGTAAAAATTCAAGGGCAGATATAGTATCAAAGCATGTCCAATTGACATAGTTCTTTTGTTTGTTGCTACTAAAAAATTACCTAAAAGAGTTTGAACGTATGTATTCGCTTTCCGACTTTTTAAATGCCCATTTAATTAGGTATGTAATTTTTTTCTTAATAAGAATATGAGGCAAAGTGGTATATAGGGTAGAAAAATCAAAACTTTGAACCGATTCAAAATCACCAATATATGCATGCAATTTATCAAGTACTTCCAACGAGTTTTTGACACTCCAAAAGTAATTAATTCCACTATTTTCAAAGGCCTTATTTGAACAATTTATTATCAGGTTTTTGATTGTACCAAGTGTACTAGTAAGTAGAATAGACAATTTAATAGTGGAACAATGACTTGAAGACGAAATAAATCTATATTTGTAAGGTGATTTGTGTAACTTCGGAAGCCAGTACATAGTTGGGATCGACTTTCATTGTATTTGGTTTTGCTTGTAAAGAAGTAGCTAATAGTTTATGTTTGTTACAGATATCGTTTTCTGAAAATGAAGTCAGTTGGAATGTTGGTGAATTGGTGATTTCCTTTTGCAGAACCTCAATGTTAAATTTACGTCAAACTATAATGATATTATTAGCAGCTTTATCAGCCGGGACAAAAACAGATTCCTTGGATAGTTCTTTTAGTTTATGTCTGATACGAGAAATAGGATTTTTATGGTTATTGTTAAGAGTAAAATGTTCTTTAAAATGTTGTATACGTATATTAACTATCTTCATTACTGAATTAAAAAAAGAGTCCAAAGATTTTTTGTCAGCTTTTTCCCGTTTTATCCATTTCAAACAATAAGCACGAAGTGAGTCGTTGATGATATTACGACACTCTTTCCAATTTCCGGGTAGATTTCTTGTAAATATAACAAATAAGAGGGAGTTCAGTATTATCAAAATATCCAGGAATTTGTTCTATAACAGAATGGTCGTTAAAAATACCGGCAATATTTACAAAATCAAAACCTTTGTTGACAAACTTTATTTTAATAAAATGTTTTTTATGATCTTCAGGGCGATCAATTTTGGGAAACAGTTTAGAATAACAATATGCCATTATAATTTGAACGATTTCATACTTAGGACTGCAATATGAAATTGTGTTGCAATCGTCTAATATTTTATTTAATTTATTTATAGGTAAAGAGCAGAGCTTGGTTAATAGATAATGTCTGCCGTTGATTTTTGAAATAGAAATTAGGTCTGAAATATTTGTATGGTTGGTCCGAAATTTTCTTTGATTGCGATTTTTTCTACGCCCATGAGAACGTTTTTTACGAACAGTTTTAGAAACTATATCCAAAATGTTAACAGAATCGGTTCTTGATATATTACCGATTCCCATGATATTATCATTAAGACCGAGAGGGTAGACTGTCTGTAATTTTTTAATCCAATTTAATTCAATTATTTTCCGTGATCGTACAAACTTTGAATGAGATTCACCAGGCTGCTTATTTACTACTTCTAAAGCTGTTTAATATTTAATAGGATGATTGTGCTTTTCAAGATGTTGATAAATGATACTTTTGCATTTATTGGGTCTTTTAAAACGATACAGGTGTTCTTGCGTGCGTTTAGATAAATATCGTCCAGTTTCACCTACGTACTGAATACCGCATCCCGGTTAGTTTATTTAAAGGATCGGTAAGTTTACCCGGATGGTATCTGAATTTCCGGGCTCGGTAAACAACATCTCCGTAAAAATTAGGATGTGCTATCCCGTTAAAAATAAGTTTTCTACAGGTACAACCAAACTTCAAAAGCTTTATATCTATGGAAGAATTTAGTAAAGGTTTTAAGCAATTTGTGTTACGAAATCTCTGGCTTAATAATTTATCGGTAATACATAGATTCCGTTCATTGAAATCCAAAACGCTACAACAGACACGGGCATAGCGAACGAGGTGTGATATATAAACACCGTAAGATGGTGCCAAAGGAACATCACCGTCCAAAAGAGGAAAATTAACATTAGGGAACGAAAAATCGTCCCTTTTGTCGTAAATTTTAGTGAAGAATTTCCCGTGTAAAACTGAAATATCTAAATCTAGGAAAGGACAGTTATTACCGTTTATATTTGATTTATTTAAAATAAGTTCCTTTGGGTAAATTTCGGAAATATATTTAGAAAATTCTTGATTATTTAACGAAAAAATATCGTTAAGATAACGATATGTGTTGTTGAATTTATCAATTAAATGCAGTTTAGACGGGTCTTTACTGAGTTTGGCCATAAACTGTGATTCATAACAATACAAAAACAAGTCTGCTATCAAAGGGGCACAATTGGCGCCCATTGTAACACCTATAACCTGTCGATAAACTGTATTGCCGAAACATACATAAATATAATCAAGGAGAAAATTAACAGCTTCAATCATCTCATCACACCTCCAGTAAGTATATCTAGCATATTAACCTTTCTCATTAGAGAGGAATGCTTTAAATGAGTTGCAGCAAATATATTTGCATTCAGATTTACCAAACGATGTAGGAAAACATTTGTTTGATAAGATTGTGTGGAAGTATACGGTGTAAAGAGTTGAAAAGTCAAAACTGTCAACCAAATCAAAAGGACCATCAAGGGCACTTAATTTATCTAAAACATCAAAAGACTTTTTTACACTCCAAAAAGTGTTAATTCCACTATTTTCATATGTTTTATTACAAAAGTTAATAATAAGTTCTTTGGTAGTAGTTAAGGAACTATTTGAAAGCACTGAAAGTTGTAGAACACTTACTAGAGGCCGAGATGAAACGATATTTTATTGGTTTTTTGTGTAGTTTAGGTAACCAATACATAGTAGGGACCTTCAAATGTTCAGAAGAGGCCTTGAGCTGTGATGTGGTAATAATATGAATGTTTAATATATGACTCTCTGTGGAGCGCTCGGACTTGAATGTAGAAGAATTTAAAATTTCATTCTTAAGGGCATACCGGCGATACATTTATAGGGGAGGTAATGACGTTGCTAACGTAAAATGTTATTTTTCACGACGTCAAACTGTAACATATCGGGAAAAGATGCATTTTCGACTGAATTTCTATCATTCAGACTGATATAACTTGAAAACGTGTTCATGGACCCTTCTTTTTAAAAATGACATTTGTCTTGATTATGTATGAAGAATATTTGTGCCAATTTTTATGACTGAACAAATCACCGATGAATTTTTTTTTAAATTAGATAAATATACTGCAATAAATGCCGTTCTTTAACTAAAATCATCAAAATGTGATCAAAATGAATAATTTCCAATGAATTATTACACAAATTTAAAGCGCGTTTATGTAGAAAAGATATTCCAGATGCTTTTTACAAAAATCTGCTTGCGTTTATCTTTTAAAACAAAAAACTTAGGTATGTCATTCCAAAGGATAGAAATGTCCAAGAAACCGAAATTTCCAGTAAATGTCTAGAATTTCGACCCCATTTATCTCTAAAAGTAGCACATGAAGGTATTTGTTTTATTACATATTTGAATTAACTAGGTGAAAAATAGTTTGTTTGCAAACTTTCGTCAAAAATTCACCGTGGGATCAAAACTGTATCGTATGCCCTTAAGAACGTCCGTGTAGTATTTACGACATACCACCACCACATTGTTGGCTGCTCTGTCGGCCGGTACAAACACAAAACGCTTTGCGAGTTCTTATTCTAGAAATAGGCTTATTATGACATATTTTATTTGTTTCTAAATTATTTTCAAAATGTGATATTCGAATATCCACAACATCCATTCATTTATTCAAATAAGAATCAAGAGATTTTTTATCAGATTTTTCCCGTTTACACCAATTTTTACAATACGATGAAAGAGCGTCTTTTGTGACCTGACGACACTGTTTCCAATCTATTCTAATAACATCTTTTATCTTATTTGAATTATTCTAATAGTTCGAGTTTATTATAAGCCGAGTTTGAGAAGCCGATTTTGACGACCAAGTTTGAGAGGACGAGTTTGTTATTGACCGAGTTTGCTATGGGCCGAGATTGGAACAGGTGCGTTTGGACGCTTTGCTGTTTAGAGTTATCAGTCGGTACTTAGTTATTTTAAATCCGTTCGGAAATTTGTTGTCAAAAAAAAATCGGAAGAAATTATTCTGGCTGACGTGCAGATGCCTTGTGATCAATCAAACTTTTACATACAACGTTGAAAAGCGATGACGATAATATGTTTGTCTTCCTTTGGATTTTACTCATTTTTAAATGTACGATATGTTTTGGAGACGAAGGACTTTATAAATCCAGCGATGATGTCGTTATTTTAACAACCGATTCTTTCCCACCGGCGGTTCTTGGTTCAGAAAATGCATGGATAATTGAATTTTACAACAGCTGGTGTGGTCATTGTATACATTTTGCTCCTAAGTGGAAAGAATTTGCGACAAAAACAAAAGGTTTGATTACCATTGTCTTATGTTGACATGTATTGTAATTTTTCAATCATTTACCAAGAAAAAGGGGCCCATTTTGTTTGTATCATATGATATCATGACATTAGTCCAAATAATTATGACATCTTGAAAGGCTATTTTTATTTTTTTCTGTGACGCCTTCCTACAACAGGAAAGTGTCACAGAAAAAAAATTAAAATAGCCTTTCAAGACGTCATAATTATTTGGACTAATCATGACATATGTGTACAGTTTGTTCGTGTATTATCATGTAAAAAAAATGTACATGTATGTCACATGATGCACCTGTACTGTGTGAGTTTGTGGTCTAATGGCTAAGACCCATGGCCACAGTGCTGAAGGTCCTGGGTTCGATTGTGAGGTGGGTGTGGAAAATTTGAGTACATAAGAAGGGTAATTTTCATCCTCCCTCTCACATCTCTGGTACCCAGACCAGAGTTTAAACTATAATGAGTACATTGGAGCCTCGGCTAGTCAAAGACATACCCCCTGACTTTAACCAGGAGATCAATCTTGAGCTACATGTATCACTTAGGTTTTTCTGTTCCCACCGAGTTGACCTGTGATTCTTTCGGTGCTTCAGCTACCAAGGGAGTTTCTGACACCAGGAAGTCTGTTATCATGGTGAAGGATTAATACAAGTCATTTCAAATTAATAACCCTTACATCATGTACAAATCAATTAAGTAGCTCTGCATTTGTGTACATGTATATCCAATATTCTCATAGTAACTGATCATGACATGATTGATGGAAGGTCTTTCAAAAGTAATCTGTCATTTGATTTCATCATGGTGGTAATAAGGACATCAGTGGTCTCATTAGCCCAAAATAGAAGGGCGCCGTGCCCTGGGTGCCCTCAGCCGCGACCTGGGTGCCTTCATCCGCGCCCTTCTGCCCTGACGCCTTTTTCCCAAAAACCCTTGTGCCGTTTTGGTAAAATTGCCTTTGTTTCATCGATTTCTTATCACAAAGTTAAATTACATATATGACAACAGGTGATTGCCCCAAGGTTAATCATGTCATTACAATCAATTACAGTGGATAAGACTTCAAAGGTGTTAATAACTAGGTAATTTAATTAAGACAATGTACCTTTTTCTCATAAATTTGATGAATGTGTCAGCGAGTGTTTTTAGCTTGGGTCCGCATTTTCATTCTCGATCTCCAAGAAGAGTGTATAAATGAAGACTTTCATGACTTTAGAATAGAATTTAAGTCATCAAAATACAGCTATGCCTTCACAGAAACGCCGTCCATCTCAACTTGTGAGCGACAAACAAACAGTAAACGTTTTAGAAATTAATTATATATGGAGTTACTTCCCCTGTTTTAGCTTATTACAAATTTGTGCTCCTAAAATATTATCTAGTATTAAAAATAGGAATAAATTACCAATTGAATACAAAATTATATAAGAATGTTGCCTTAAGGATATTTACTGTCTTTGAACATACCAAAAAAAAATATATTGCAATTTATTTTTGATAATCATACTTTTAGCAATCCATGTTCTATACATTATCAAATAAGAAATTTATATGACCAATTTTTATGATGATGTTAAGCTGCAATCCTACATAAATGGGTAGTGTGAAGTTAAACTATCATGACATCAACTTGATGATGCTTTACTAAGTAATTCCTTAACACAAACAATGAAAAAAAGTTTTGAGGGCCAAACCCTAGCTGAAAATTTTGAAATAAGACAACTCTGTCACATGTATGCTAACTATGAGATGTTTAGTTTATGTTGTCTTTTTTTTTTGGAAAAAGGGGGGGAGGGCGTGGGAGAACAGTAGGTTAATTTGCCTCTATTGGTTTATAGTGATGTGATGTATGAATGTGTATTGACATGTTTTATGAACATGTCGTATGAGGAATTACATTTTCTAATGCAAATTTTATAGAATAAATAATCAAAACAACAACTTATGCATCTTTAATAACAACATATACAGTAAAAAAAAGAATGTGAACTCGTGATACACACAGAAACGTATACAAATGGTAGACAAAAGAAATGAGCAGTGCCTTTTCCTTTCATAAAAAAGTGCCCTGCCCTCCACTGGCACCCTGCCCCTTTTGATTTCTAGCTGGAGCACTGGACATGACTATGTACATGTAGTTTCCTTTCATGTCTGTGGAAATTTGACATATTTTCAGTGTTTATACCCTATCCCCTGGTTAAAGGAACATAGTGGCTCTGTCTCAAGGTATACCATAAGCAAAGAGTTACTATAACAACATTTATATGTCCAGATTTTCATTTTCAGTTTGTTTTTGATATGAAAATCAGTATCATGTGTAGGAAAATAATGATACCTGCTTGAAATATTAACCCTACATATAACAGTTGCCTGGTAAGGCAGATATGGCAATGTCTTGTGGACAAATTAAAAAAATAAATAAATAATGGAATGATTATGATTGGTTTTAAATGTATGTTTCTATCATATTAGTTTTGTGTTTGTTAGAAACCTGTTCCAAGTCAAGAACCTTTTTGATGGTTGTCTTTGTTTAGCTGCAAAACCGTTACTCTAATAGTCCTTATTATATTTTCTGATTTGTGCCGACCATAAATGAAATAGTCCGCAAATTGTCAAAAAATATCACAAGGACCTAAGAGCTACGGTTCCACAACTAGTCTTTGTTATGATAATTTTTGTACTGTTGAAATTTGCATACGTATTTGTTTTACAAACTGATTGTCTAGAATTTAAACTTGGGTTGTAAATTGACAGTCTAAATATTATGAAAATAAAACATGTAAAAACAAAACATCGGTCATATATCTTCCATCAAGAATTATATTTACCCATTAAAATTTGAAAAATACTGATTTCAGGATGGCAGAAAGTAATTTCAGTTGGAGCAGTTGATTGTTCACAGAAAGATAACATACCACTATGTAGAGATTATGACATACAAGGTTACCCAGCAATAATTGTAAGTATAGTCCTGTTGAACTTGTAGAACTAATATATGACATACAAGATTACCCAGCAATAATTGTATGTATAGTCCTGTTGAACATGGAGAACTTATGACATACAAAGGTTAATAATAGAAATTATTGTAACTGTAGTCAAGTAGAACTTAGTCACAAAAGATTACCCAGCAATTACTGTAAGTGTAGTTGTGTAGAACATATGACATACAAGATTACCCAGCCATTATTGTACAAGTATTGTACAGACATGCAGAGCATATGACATACAAGAATTCCCAGCCATTATTGTACAAGTATTGTACAGACATGTAGAGCATATGACATACAAGATTACCCAGCCATTATTGTACAAGTATTGTACAGGCATGTAGAGCATATGACATACAAGATTACCCAGCCATTATTGTACAAGTATTGTACTGACATGTAGAACATATGACATACCAGATTACCCAGCCATTATTGTACAAGTATTGTACAGACATGTAGAACATATGACATACAAGATTACTGAGCCATTATTGTACAAGTATTGTACAGACATGTAGAACATATGACATACAAGATTACCCAGCCATTATTGTACAAGTATTGTACTGACATGTAGAACATATGACATACAAGATTACCCAGCCATTATTGTACAAGTATTGTACTGACATGTAGAACATATGACATACAAGATTACCCAGCCATTATTGTACAAGTATTGTACTGACATGTAGAACATATGACATACAAGATTACCCAGCCATTATTGTACAAGTATTGTACAGACATGTAGAACATATGACATACAAGATTATCCAGCCATTATTGTACAAGTATTGTATTGACATGTAGAACATATGACATACTTAAATAAAAGGCTGTTACATAAATATTGTAATATTGAATTTGATTTCCTTTAAGTACAAAAATGAAGTAATAATGTTACAATTGAATTTGGAATTCTTTTGAAAAGAAATGTAATTTTTACAACCTGAAAACAATTGTTCTGATCTATTTATTTGTTAATATTATTATTTATATGTTAGCAGGCAGTAATGAAAAATGTCACACATGGTTGTATTAAAAATATCTACACATGTACATGTGTGGATTACGTATTATGAAAATGAATAGTGAAATATGTCAAATTAAAGGTGATGAGAATTCCGACTGTAAAAGTGCCTACTGTCTTCAACTGAAACATGGCTGTAATATTTGCTACTGAAGCTCTTTTAAAGATGATTAATATTGTAATATAAGCTGCTGATATGAATAAAAGGAGATGTGGTTTATATGTACATTTAAATAAGGCAGCAACTAAACAACAAAAACAAACAAATAAGTTGAAATATAAACATTTAGAGGGTAACATACAGTCATCAACAATAGACAGACATCTACCATTGTCTACACAATATATCAATCTCTAAATCACCATGATCACACCCTTATTAATCTAGGAAATTATATATGGGAATAAATTAAACAGAATTTAAAGAATCTGCAGTCAACACCAAATTCTCCAAATAAAAAAAAAAAAATGAAGATATGACATAAGAAAACCACTTTCATATGGGTAGGAATGGGGTACCCCACATGACGAATGATGGTAAAATATTTGTTAAAATAACGTTAACAATAAATATTTTACTCCATTTGACACTAAATGTAGCTACAGAATGAGATTTGACGAATGTCGATAAAGAATTGAGGCTCATTTGACACTAACAGTAGCGAAAAAGGGACGTTTGGCGCTTGGCGATAAAAGACAGTCCTACCCTCTTACATGATACCTGACTTGGACACATGAAATGCATACATATTTTTACATGTAACAAGTACTGATAAAGAAATATTTGTAGCATGGGATGGATATAGTATAAACTGCTACTAGTGTAAATATGAAAATAAGAAGACGTGGTATGATTGCCAATGAGACAACTCTCCACCAGAGACCAAATGACATAGAAGTTTAAGACTAGGTTTTTTTTTTCTTTCAATTATTAAACTAGTGTAAGGTCATGGAGTACACGTTGATCAATCACCTGTCAATTTTGCCTGCTGACTAGTCAAAATTTAATTGATGGAAATGTATGCAAATCAATTAAAACTTGGTACTTGATTAAAAAAAACCTGTAACATCTGTCCTATGTATATACATGATATAGTTGTTGTACATGTCATGAAGTTAGAAATATTTAAAATTACTTATCAGATATTCTCATTTCTGGCCAAAAATAAATATACAATGTTTTCTGTATACTGTGAACTAAAAGTGAAAAACATAAAAAAAAAAATGCATTTAGTAAATTTTTAACACCTTGCACACTAACTAGAGTATGTTCTGATCGATTTACTTGAATTTTTACACTTTCATTTAAATGGTTAATATATAATTATATATATATATATGATGACGATGAAAGACTTTTGATTTCTGTCATTCCAGAGTAATGCGATATTAACCTTCAGATTTATTTTTCTAGTACGCTTAAAATTGTAAATGGCTTTGGTAAAAGAAAGCTCATTTTCAGTTTAATAGAAATTTTTCCAATCTGTCATTCCGGTTCCAAAGAGACTTAAACCATCAGATGTCTGGCTATTTTTCACATATATATATTGTGATTTAGCGCTAATATGCTTGGATCAATTTACTTCAAGCTTTGTATACTTTGTTGTTGGGATTGGTAAAAGTAAGATCCTTTTTGATTTAAAATTTTTTTGGATTTCCTTATATAGGAATTTAACTTCAAATTTACTCAGACTGGACAGTATAGTATACTGCTATTCATGCATCAAATTGTGCAATTATTAGAGCATGCTTTGATGAAACTTTTAAGAAATTTTTGAATCCATGGAAGAAAGCTCCATTTTAATTTTATGGAATACTTAAAACAGTGGAATGAAGTTCCTCCTGTAGGTTTTTCTGTAGGACTATTTTACTGACTTGATTTTTGGTCATTTTCAGAGATTTCTTTTATAATTATCACCAGTCTTTATGAAAATTTCATACCTCAGCTGGCTCTGATAGACAAATGGGCAAACTTAACTTTAGAAAATGATTGATAGGATTTTATATGTCTATCTTATTTTCTTTATCTTAAAATCAGCTCTCATGTTAAAAATCAATACAGAGCTAATCTGTTGAGATCAACATGATCAATGCATGCATCACAATACCATTGTTCATTTTCTGATTCTACAAAAATCAATGCCAACACCTGCGTTTTAAAATGCTTTTGTTTTCATGATAGATTTTTTTAGAATGAATTTTTAATAATTGACCTGTTATCCTGTTATAGTATTATTAAAGATTTTACAAATTCTGAAATAAATATGATACTTTTTTAACAACTTTAGCCATTTTAAGTTAACATTTGTTACTACCGTGAAATGAGGATGAATGAAAGGGGGTGTGGAGGTAAACATTAACATGTTTGTGTTAACAACTCAACAGAGCAAAACAATAACAAAAGATACCTTAGAGTATTTTTTTTTAATTTCTGACACATTTCCTGCTTTTAAATTTTGGTCCAAAGGTAAGCTATAAATTAAATCACTATGAGTCTAGTATATAAATTGTGTATTTGATCAACAGATACCATAGACACCTGTAATTATATCAGCAAAATAACAGATATACATTACACAAAAGAAAAACTTTAGATCGCACCATTGCTGCATGGACCATTAACACTGCTTTGATTCTGTTTATCATTTTAACATTAATTTTGAGATAGTCACTACTGGCAATGTCTAGTTTCTCTTCATTAGAAAGAAACATAGAGATACCAGGAAGTTTTCTCAGCACTACCAAAGGCAAATTTTTATGCCCCCGCCGTAGCGGAGGGGGCATTAAGTTTTACCCTTGTCCGTCTGTACGTATGTACGTCCCAAAGTTGGTTTCCGTTCTCTAACTTTAGTTTGCCTCAAACAAATGTTATGAAACTTAAACACAATGCTTATTACCACAAAACACAGATCAAGTTTGAATTTTGGTGGCGTCACTTTAACCGTTCTAGAGTTATGCCCCTTTACAAATTGAAAAATTGCTGAATTTTTCGTTTCCGTTCCCTTACTTCAGTTTGCCTCAACCAAATGTTATGAAACTTATACACAATGCTTATTACTACAAAATACAGATCAAATTGAATTTTGGTGGCGTCACTTTAACCGTTCTAGAGTTATGCCCCTTTACAAATTCAAAAATTGCTGCATTTTTCGTTTCTGTTCTCTAACTTTAGTTTGCCTCAACCAAACATGCCAAATGTTATGAAAAGTATACACAATGCTTATAACCACAAAACACAGATCAAGTTTGAATTTGGGTAGCGTCACCTTTACAAATTCAAAATTTGCTGAAATTTTCGTTTCCGTTTTCCAACTTTAGTTTCTCAACCAAATGTTATGAAACTTATACACAATGCTTATAACCACAAAACACAGATCAAGTTAATTTGGGTGGCGTCACTTTTACCATTCTAGAGTTGTGTCCCTTTACAAATGGAAAAATTGCTGAATTATTAGTTTCCATTCTCTAACTTTAGTTTGCCACAAACAAATGATATGAAACTTATGTGCAATGTTCATTACCACAAAACACAGTTCAAGTTTGAATTTTGGTGGCGTCACTTTTACTGTTATTAAGTTATGCCCCTTTACAAATTGAAAAATTGCTGAATTTTTCGTTTCCGTTCCCTTACTTCAGTTTGCCTCAACCAAATGTTATCAAACTTATACACAATGCTTATTACAACAAAACTCAGATCAAGTACAAATTTATAACGTTATATGCAAGCTGGGGCATCATCTGTGCCCCATTGACACATTCCTCATTTATTTATTCTATCCAATATGCATTGTTTCAGTTTTTTCCACCAAATGCTGATGAAGCGTATAGAGGAGAGCCTATCCATGATCAGGACATTGATTCCATTGGTAGGAGAGTTATAAACTACATAGGTCAGTTTGAAGGTGCCAGTAAACCTTCGTCATGGCCAGCTTTACAGCCTCTCAGGTAAGAGATCCACGATCAGGACATTGATTCCATTGGTAGGAGTTTTATAAACTACATACATGTAGGTCAGTTTGAAGGTTCCACTAACCTTCCTCATTGCCAGCGTTACAGCCTCTCAGGTACGATTGTCTTCTAGAAAAATAGACAGAAGATACTAAGGGGTCATTTAAAACTTGTAAGTCAAGGGGAAACTACCCATGACATTACACAAAAGACAATGAAAGACAAACACTACACAGAAAATTATTGACAACCCAATTAAAAAGTGGTGGTTATCTCCGGTGATTTTGAAGGGTTAGCAAATCCTGCTCCACGTGTGACAACTCTTGTGATACTTCTATAAAATAGTCTAATGCTGATCAGTATAATTAGATTGGCATAATATGTATTTTTTGTAGTTATATAGATATCATCAGTAGTCCATATACTTTGCATTATTTCAATGTTTCAAGAATACCTCTACTGTTGTTTTTTTAAACAGTTTCAACTGATGGAATAATGAAAAACTGTAATACAAGTACTAAGATGTTTGATGCCGTAAAAAATGGTTTATCCAAGCATATATACATTGTACTACCTTAGATACAAGTCCATTCCTTATATTCCCATTTCTGTTTTAAACCCCTTCAGTCAGGGGTACTACTTGTACAAGTAGTTTTTATTTACTTGAAGAAGTAATATTAATATACTTATATAAGTAAATTTTTAGGATACTTATACAAGTGTATTTTATTTACTTGTATAGGTAAAAAAAAAATTGGCTTAGTTATGTCCCTAAGACATTCAGATTTTTTTACTTATATAAGTGAAAAAGTTATCCTATCTTCTTTTCTTGTATTCATAGGACTTCTTTGCTCTAATAGAATTTTAAATTTTCTGTCCTTTGCAGATGTCTTAACTAATCATTTAAGTGTAATTTCATGGACAATGAAAATCTCATTTGTCTGTTATCTTCAGAACACTGCTCATTTACAAGCCCCCAAGAAGCAATTTTTGAAGGCCTTGCGCAAATACATAAGATCTTTGCGCAATCAGTTTCTTTGTTGAGTTAATGAGATGAAACATTGAACTCTAATAAAAAATTATGAGCTAACCTGGGAAAAATCATTAAAGGCATGTTTTAACATTTCAAAACTTGAGAATTTTTGTGGGATTGTAAAAAAAATTTACTTATACAAGTAAATTTTTGAAAAAATTAAGGGGAGATTATTCAAACATTATAATTAACTTATATAAGTATATTTTTTTTACTTCTTCAAGTAAATAAAGATTACTTGTACAAGTAGTACCCCTGACTGCCCTTATACAAATATACTAATATTCTGTATTCAAAAATTGACAGTTATATTGCTTAATCAGACGGCAGAAAAACAATGAGTTCATTTGAAATATGCATGTATTTAGGGATTGGACGTAAAGCAAACAATAATCAATCTATTCAAGCATCTAAAGTTCACTATACAGCCTTAAATGATAGATGTTAGTTTTTCAAATTTGTCTTACCTTTGTGATTTGTTCTCGTCCAGAATATTAAAAAAAAATGCCAACAGTACAAGTCACTGGACATTAATCAAGCAACAATAAATCTAACCTTTGGGTGGATATATCATTTTTATACGACAGCAAAAAAGTCGTAGTCGTCTGCGTCGTATGAAGACATTTGGTTTCCAGACAATAACTTTAGTATATGTAAATAGAAATCTGTGAAATTTAAACACAATGTTTACAACCACAAAAAGAAGGTTGGGATTGATTTTGGGGGTTATGGTCCTAACAGTTTAGGAATTAAGGGCCAAAAAGGGGCCCAAATAAGCATTTTTCTAGTTTCCAGACATAACAATAACTTGTGGAAAGATGTATGGATCTCTCTGAAATTCGACCACAAGTTTCCATACCACAAAGGGATGGTTAGGATTGGTTTTGGAGGGTTATGGCTCAAACCGTTAAGTAATAACGGGCAAAAAAGGGGGAAAAACAAGGGTTTCCTGGTTAATGGACAATTACTTAAAAGTACAATGTTGCTTTAAAATTATGTATAAAGAAATGTTGTATTGTCTTGAGGTGATTAGCTCTCAATTTATTTTTAGAAGTTACTATTAAAAATGCTGATTAAAGAATATTAATTTTAGTCATGATTATGTATGTCATTTTCTATTTTAAGACTTTTATGATGTATTCAAATGGGTAATTATGGTTGCAAACTCCATTGGAAAATTGAAGTGAGATTATGACCATATCTTGAGGGAAAGATTTTTTTTTATAAAGGGGGGGGGGGGGGGGGGGTGAGGTAAAAAAAATTGGGGGGGGGGGGGGGTAAAAAAGAAATTGTTGGGGGAGGACAATTTTTTCTCATTTTAGATTTCAGAAATTAAAAAGAAAATTTCTTTAAATATTTTGGTTTTTTTTGCAAAAAAAGGGGGGGGGGGTAAAAAAAAATTTTGTGTGGGGGGGGGGGTCAATTTGCAACAGCATAGTGTAATGCACAAAAGCAAAAAAAAGGGGGGGGGGGGTAAAAAAAAAAATTTTTTTTGGGGGGGGGGTCAATTCGCAACAGCATAGTGTATTGCACAAAAGCAAAAATTGAATATAAATTCAAATTATATAACCAATACTAAGTCCTTTGACTACAGTTATTCTGTGTCATAAACCTATTATGTGCCAAATATTTAATTACAGTCCAATTTCAGACCTGTATCAAGCACGAATATTGTGTCCATTTTTGCCCCAACTGTTCAGGGTTGGACCTCTGCGGTCTTATCCAGCTGCGCTCAGCGAAGCAATTTATTAACTTTTAATTTAAAAATAAGAAGATGTGGTATGATTGCCAATGAAACAACTCTCCACAAGAGAAAAAAATGATGTAAAAGTAAGCAACTATAGCTAATTTGGTCTTCAACAATGACCAAAACCCATACTGCATAGCAAGCTATAAAAGGCTTTAAATAATAAATGTAAAGCAATTCAAACGACCTGATTTATGTACAAAACAATAAATGAAAAACAAATATGATATACAGCAACAAACAACATCCATTGAATTACAGGCTGCTGACTAGAGAGTGTATTTATGATATTTGGGTTTTTATGATTTCTTTTTGCTGTTATACAGTTTTTATATCAGATGAATGTGAGAGGTATAAGAAATAATGTAATAAAATGAAGCACTGGATTATTTTACAAATGAGTAACATTAGATTTTAGTATGTCATTGTAAGGAGATATATATGGACCTGGAGTTGACATCTTTCTGTAATAAGACTAATTTATTATTTTTTATTTGTGGGAGTTCTCCCCTGTCCTATTTATTCAAATGGAATAGCCCATAATATAAATTTATCATTTTTCAGTACTGTAGAGCAGATCTGGGAAGAATCTAAAGATATTCATAAACATGTCATTCTACTGTTTGAACATAAAGAGTCTTATATCGGCAGACAGGTAACAATTCTAAAGCTTTAATGCATTATATTATAGAACGTTATCATTTGATTTTTTAACAACACAGTAGATCAACCGCCAGTGCATAAATTAAATAGTGTCAATACTTTCTGAACATGATTGTATTCAGACAATTTGGTTTAAATGATATTGTACACAACCAACTATGATAGTTATTGCAGGGATCACCATGACCTATTGTAGTGTGGGACACCGCCATGCTTGAATTTCCCTCCGCCACCTTTTGATTTTCATGTGCCACGCTTATTTTGTTGTCTACCAATATGACCAAGCTTCAAAAATAGATTGTACTTAAATACCTGATACCTCTAACCCAACTAAAAAAGTTTATGACAAGTTTACGACCCCAAGCTAATCAAGTCACAACAGGTGTCATTTGTTGTTACAGGTAATCTGATTATCCGATGGGTCCTTAATGATCATCAAAATTAAATCATACAAATATAGTAGGGATGTCAACGAGTACTCGAGTATCGCTTGGTAGTACCGAGTATCGAATACCAAAATGATACTCGACTAATCATTTTTTTTTGTTGTTAGAATGTTGTTCCCTTCTTAAAGAATTTTTTTTTATTAAGAGCGCCTCCCGTGAAATCAAAATAAAAATACAGTTCGAATGTTTGAGTTTAATTGTCATTTAAAATCCCCTCATGCGCTATGAACAAGAGCACCTTTCCAAGGCCTGCACTTTTAGCTAATCGTGTCCTAGTCATTCTACAAAGGTGACCTCTGTACCGCCACAGCAAATATTTTCATCAGCAGAACTGTTAGTTACGTAACAAAGTTGATAAATTGAATTGTCCAATAAAAAGTTGACAAGATAATATTTCTAAATAAGAACAAATTCGTTGCACCCTGTGTCGACCCTCAGAGAATGGTTAAAGTCTTTTAAATGATCACCCCTTTGTTGATCATAAAGGTGTTTCTTTACGATTCCCAAATACTGTTGATTTAGTAATCAATTTTCTATAGATATTTATTAATAATTACAAATTGATTAAATTATTGCCTGTTTACATAATTAGTACATGTAGTAAATGAGCTCATAATTATGGTATAAAATTCCTGGGACTATTATCTAGTCCAAGGTATTAATGTGGAGGGTTTTACGTCCATAAGACAACTCCCCACAATCTGTAAATTGGATTTTATTTTGTGTTTCCATTTTGTATATGTTTTTCCGAGCGAGTACTCGAGTATCGCTTGGAAAATCCAACGAGTACTCGATTAGTAAATCTTCACCGAGTTGACATCCCTAAATTATAGCATCAGTCAGTCAGCAATGTCATTGGACATTTCAACATATGACCACACAATTTGCAACATTTACCGAAGTTTCATTATGAAAACTCTTGACAAAAAAACGAAAACTGTAATGAACTTATTAAAAAAACATTGGTTAAAATGAATTCCTATGAAATGTCAAATTCAGATATATTTTGTCTTTGCCTGCCCTCACTTTTGATAAGAAAAAACATGACGGCTTCCATTGATTGTATTCACTTCTACTGTGTATAATCCTCTCGAGAAGTAGGAGCACACTTGAATACAAGAAAGATAACTCAATTATAATTTTTTCCTTGTATTGAAATACCTACTCAAGATATGTCCACATCTAACTTTAAGACTTTTAGTTTTAAGGGGTCTTAGGTTTACGGGGGTCTTATGAGTTTATATGGTGTTAAGAGGGTCTTAGAATTGACGACATCACTCCCCAATCCTTGATTTTCATTCTGTGGTGAACCATGTATTGTGATGGAATTCCAATTTTCAGTTAATGAACTACACAAGAATTCCAAAGTAAAAGTAAAAAGGTTGGACCATTGTTATTATTGTAGATTGCCTTGTTGGTGATGTGATCTGAATATTTTTCTTATAATGAAACAAAAAATTAGGCTCATATATAAAAAGCCATGTCAATATTAATTATTGTAGCATACATTTTAATATTTTTTTGGTTGAAATGGTTTTAATTTGTTTTCTTAATATTTGTGCAATTTGACACAAGTCAGTTTGTATAGACATAACCACATTTTAGCATCTTGTTTCAGCTTTTTAGTTAGAAGGATTGCTCATTATTAACCTGGAATCAGTTTTGCCCAGAATAATCTTACTAATGCTCATACAAATTATGGATTTAAATTTGTTTATTACATGTTTACAGGTGATACTAGATTTAAGCCAGTATAAACATTTGTTGATAAGAACAGTTACCAATCAAAACATAGTAAAGTTTGGAGTGACACATTTACCTTCATTATTCTTACTCCATGGTGGTGATGGCAGGTTTGAACATATAGCCAAGTAAGTCAATCATTTTAACAGTGCCACCAGTCATGTTATGATACTATGAGGTCAATCAGTGTAAGTGTTGTTATCCAACGATGGCCTCTTTATATTGTGAGACAATGAGATAAGCATAAATTGTGACATTGGAAATGTGTGGGAAAGTTTACGATGTGAAAGAATGATTTCATTAATTAAGTCTCCCAAACGAAGTTTGGGAAGACTTATTGTTTTTGCTCAGTTCTTATTATTCTTCTTCTTCTTCCGCCGCTTTTAAATTTGAACTTGTCCGCACCCGTTCTCCAAAACCGCTTGTCAGATTAACTTAGGGTTTCACAATATGTTAGACTAACATGTCTAGTGGTGCAATCAGGGTTTTGTTTGTGCAATGGGGTTTATAAAGGGGTACTTTGAGGGGCAAAAAGTAAAGAGGGTTTTACTATAGAACCCTACGGGATTTTATTTTTTTAAATTTTCAGTTGATTATAAATTGAAAACCGTTTGTGATAGACACAATCTTTTTAATTGAAAATGTTCTAAATGATAAAGCCCATTAAATGAAATACAGGGTTAGTCCCCAGGGGTCACCCCCACCCCCTGCCATTTAAGAAAGTTTTAATATCTTCTAAGTGGTCAAGATCCCCACCCCTAAACCATATATATTCTGGTTTGTCATGCTAAGATGGTTTGAATGATATACAGGGTTAGTCCCCAGGGGTCATCCCGACCCCCTGCCATTTGAGAAAGTTCTAATATCTTGTAAATGGTCGAGATCCCCACCCCTAAACCATAAATATTCTGGTTTGTCATGATAAAGCACATCAAATTAAATACAGGGTTAGTCCCCAGGGGTCACCCCCACCCCCTGCCATTTAAGAAAGTTCTTATACCTTGTAAGTGGTCAAGATCCCCACCCCTAAACCATATATATTCTGGTTTGTCATGCTAAGATGGTTTGAATGATATACAGGGTTAGTCCCCAGGGGTCATCCCGACCCCCTGCCATTTGAGAAAGTTCTAATATCTTGTAAATGGTCGAGATCCCCACCCCTAAACCATATATATTCTGGTTTGTCATGATAAAGCACATCAAATGTTATACAGGGTTAGTCCCCAGGGGTCACCCCCACCCCCTGCCATTTAAGAAAGTTCTAATATCTTCTAAGTGATCAAGATCCCCACCCCTTAACCATATATATTCTGGTTTGTCATGCTAAGATGGTTTGAATGATATACAGGGTTAGTCCCCAGGGGTCATCCCGACCCCCTGCCATTTGAGAAAGTTCTAATATCTTGTAAATGGTTGAGATCCCCACCCCTAAACCATATATATTCTGGTTTGTCATGATAAAGCACATCAAATGAAATACAGGGTTAGTCCCCAGGGGTCACCCCCACCCCCTGCCATTTAAGAAAGTTCTAATATCTTCTAAGTGATCAAGATCCCCACCCCTAAACCATATATATTCTGGTTTGTCATGCTAAGATGGTTTGAATGATATACAGGGTTAGTCCCCAGGGGTCATCCCGACCCCCTGCCATTTGAGAAAGTTCTAATATCTTGTAAATGGTTGAGATCCCCACCCCTAAACCATATATATTCCTATTTGTCATGTCTCGAACATTTGGATGACGTATACGGTCAGTCCCCAGGGGTTCCCCCCACCCCCAATGTTCTAATATCTTGTAAATGGTTGAGATCCCCACCCCTAAACCATATATATTCCTGTTTGTGATGTAATGAACATTTGAATGACGTATAGGGCCAGTCCCCAGGGGTTCCTCCCCACCCCCAATGTTCTAGTATCTTGTAAATGGTCGAGATCCCCACCCCTAAACCATATATATTCCTGTTTGTGATGTAATGAACATTTGAATGACGTATAGGGCCAGTCCCCAGGGGTTCCTCCCCACCCCCAATGTTCTAGTATCTTATAAATGGTCGAGATCCCCACCCCTAAACCATATATATTCTGGTTTGTCATGCCAAGATGATTTGAATGATATACAAGGTTAGTCCCCAGGCATCACTAATGCATATAACTTTACTGGACCAAACCAATTTTCACTGGACGTTGCCCAATGTCAGGCGACCCTGGGAATTACGAATTATGGAAGCTTCGTTTGGGAGACTTCGTAACAGCATCCTGTTACAATCATTTCTTGTTTTAACTAGATTTAATGGAAAATGAGCATGATGAGTACTGCAAGCTTTGTTACCGAACAAAATGTATCATAATTTATTTATTTATAATGTATTGGGTTTAAAAATACCTATTTTGAGAAAAAAAACATACATATTTGTTTTATGTTTCTAAAAACCACAAAAACTAAAACCACAAAACCATATATGGAAGTGGCATATTTTAAGTTTAAAATAAAAGATACATCTACCCTATATCTTTCATTCATTAATAGCTGATAATATAAAAGGTACTGAAATTCCAAAAGTAGATGTCAAAACAACTTTTCAAAGTGATTGATTTATTTAAAATTAGCAGTTGTTGTTATCTGTTATACAACTGATCAATCAAAATGTATACATATGATGATAAGATACTATAAAGATTTACCTTTACATTTCAATTTGTAAGTTCTCCATAATAATAGACAGTTGCAAGTTCCAATATATAAATGAGAACAAACAGTATTATTATAAAAAGATTTTTCTTCTTTAACAGAGGAGTTGATGACCGTGAAACCATTGTAGCGATTATTAAAAAGCTTATAGGTGCTGATCATGATGATAATGGAGAGACACAAGAAGACCATAAGATGGCAGAAAAAACTGTTAAGATGCAAACAACGGCAATTACTAATGGGTAAGGTTTGATTCACTGACTTATACTATTCCACAGAAATGTAAATATAAAATATTTGTGTGCACTGAATTATTGGGATTGATAATCAATGGACACAAGTGCAAGATTTATTAGGCCAAAAAATATTGAATATCAGGTTTTTTTCATGTGTGTTTAATTTTCACTTTGTTCTCTGCACCCAAAGAAACATGAAAATTTGACCCCACGTAAATTTCCCTGCATATTCCAAGATTTATGATTGTTTGAAAGACTGTTAATTATGGAGTGTTTTGTGTTGTTCAACAGATCCCAAGAACATGCATACCTAATTAAGATCTCTGTTTTCGTAATAATTAATTAGCTAATCATACATGTCACACCTTTTGACAACACAACAATCAGTGACATGTTAAAAATGTTAGTTAGCGACGTTCTGTTGATTGGTGTCATAACCCGAACATTTTGCATGTAATGTAAAAATAAAATAGATTACATTTACACGGATATGTGTATACCTGTAAGGATCAAAACCTTCAACTTTTAACATACTCCAATATAAATATTTTACGTTCCTTGAAAGTGTATGTTTTGTTTGTAGAACTCTTATTTATTTGATATCGACTAACTGTTAGTTCATTAAGTTCATGTTGTTTACTACTTTAACAATACAATACAGTTATTTTTTTGCGTGTATTTTCTAGAGATGTCAACTGGGTGAAGATTTACTAATCGAGTACTCGTTGAATTTACCAAGCGATACTCGAGTACTCGCTCGGAAAAACATCTACAAAATGGAAATTATACGCATTTTACGTATTGTGGGTAGTTGTCTTATGAATGTAAAACCCTCAACATTATTACCTAGGACTAGATAATAGTCCCAGGAATTTTATACCATAATTAATAGCTCATTTACTACATGTACTAATTATGTAAACTGGCAATAATCTAATCAATTAATTAATAAACATCTACAGAAAATGATTACTCAAACAACAGTATTTGGGAATCGTAAAGAAACACATGTAATGATCAACAAAGGGGAGATGATTAGAACTTACTGATGCCTTTAACCATTCTCTGAGGGTCGACACAGGGTGCCACGAACGAATTTGTTCTTATTTAGAAATATTATCTCGTCTACTTTTTTTGGGACAAGTTGATTTTTAGACTTTGTTACCTAACTAACAGTCCTACTGATGAAAATATTTGATTTGCTCTGATGGTAGAGGTGGTGGAATGACACCATTAGCTAAAAGTGTAAGCTTTGGAAAGGTGCTCTTGTTCATAGCCTAACTCTGTTCAAAGGAACTTTAAATGACAATTAAACGCAAACATTTGAACTGTATTTTAATTTTGATTAATATTTGATTTCCGGGGAGGCACTTTTAATACAAATATTTTTTCTTTAAGAAGGTATCAACATTCTAACAGGAAACCGATTACTCGAGTACCATTTTGGTATTGGATACTCGGTACTACCAAACGATCCTTGAGTACTTGTTGACATCCCTAGTATTTTCCCATTCAGCGAAAATAATACAGTAAAAATTTAACCTGCCAATTTTGTCATCAAATCCAGAAAAAAAGCAGACGCGAAAAAAACCCAATATACGGTAACTTAAATTGTTTGATTTTGCCTACCTACCAACTTAAAAAGCAGCCTACCTGAAAAATTGTTGGAAATATGACACAATTTTTTTTAAAAAGATTTTTCACTGCTCTAACGTTGTTTTCTTTTCTATATCATGTAACTGATGTTGTTAGTAAAAAAAAAATTAAAATCCCTACCTCCCTATGAGGCATGTGTAGGCAACATCAAACAAATAATTTTTTAAGGGTAGCCTTATTGAAATTTTAGGAAGTACTGTATGCAAGTAACCTTTCTCCCTGCAATTTTCCCAATGAGAAAAACCTTTGCTAAAATTTCTGAATTTAAAAGTAGTTGTTGACTATTGATGAACAATGTGTGTGGTTTGTTTGTTCCCAGCTCCACTTGGATTAGAAATTAAGCTTTAAGGACTAATTCAGATGCTATTTTCTGATTTTACTGGTATTTTGACTGTTTAAAAAAGATATGATCATTATGGATTACATTGCACTGAAACAGTACTCAATTTGTTATTGCAATATTGATTGATGTTTGCTTAACCTCCTGTGGCAAATAGTTCATGAATGTTCAGGACAAGAAAAATTAACAATAAATACAACAGGTAGGTCCTGTTAAAGAGGCCGTTCAGGATGAAGGTCAGGGGAATTTGGAAAAAGAGGGTATATTGGATAGGGACAGAAATTTTGTCTTACAACAGGCAACTATGGACCCCTCAAAGAGTTGTTGCAAGGGTTCGTAAAGTGCAGAGTGGAACTCTCTCTACACAAGGCATCAGATTTAACGTCTCCATTCTGACCGTATGTGGCTGTGTGCTTGATACATCAATCCCACACAGCCTTCAGATGACCCACTTTGGTGGGGCTATCCTGCTGGTTGGAAGAAGACCAAGTGACCATATATCTATTCCACAGTCACCTTTGTGGATGTTGTTGGAATAAAAGACTTGTTAGGTGGAAGTCAATGAGACAGAATCTTATGGATTACCATATTACCAGACACATATTTTTAAAAATCAATATGAAAACAAAATATACTTCAAACTCTTTTTCTTTTTCAGTAAATTTTCAATAAAATCTGTTTTCACTGCAAAAATGAAGAATATAAAAATCTTAAGATACAATCGTTTCATTTAGGTGGATATTTCTTTTTTTCAAGTTTATGATAAAGTTCTTTATATATTCAATATATATTTATGATTATACTTAGTTATTGTCATGCTTCAATGCCAATCATATAGTTAAGGGAATAAAAAAACACCAATGTTATGTACTCTTTATCATGATGTATCAGTGTATGTATTTTCAGGACATCTTCATTAATGAGTGACACAAATTTACTTTTTAAGCAGTTTTGAATATGGCAGATTGAAAAGTGTTAAAAAAATGTGTGATTTGTATTTCAGGACAGTTGTATATATGTCAGATTTAGAGTCAGCACTATCCTACAGCTTCAGACAAGAAATAGCTATACAGAGATCTATTGATGGAGAGGCTCTACAGGCACTTAAAGATTTCATTAGAGTTCTAACAAAGGTATGCTGACATTCTTAAGAAATTGTCCAAAATTTGTAGAATAAATGCAAAATACAAAAAAATGTAAAAATACAATGAAAGACAACTCTATGTAAACAGGTAGTTCATTTGCAACATACATTTTTTTTATTAATTTTAATTTCTATTTAATGTACTTATAATTTTTGAACTTTTCTGTATCAGTCAATTGAATGTGGGGTATTTTTGTAGTATTTCCCAGGTGAAGAGTATCTGAAGAAATTTTTACGGAGAATAAAGACTTGGCTTGATTCTGTGTCTTCAGGACTCACGGGAGAAGTCTGGGTGTATTATATAGACAGTTTACAGGTAAATATAAGTTTGTTTTGATTCTGTGTCGTCAGGACTTGCGGAAGAAGTCATGGTGTATTATATAGACAGTTTACAGGTAAATATGTTGGTTTTGATTCTGTTTCTTCAGGACTTCCGGGAGAAGTCATGGTGTATTATATAGACAGTTTACAGGTAAATATATGTTTGTTTTGATTCATTGTGATATGGGCACTGGCCAAAAATATTTCGTTATAATTTGAAAAATAAATGTAAAAGAAGGGGTCAAGAAGTACAACTTATTCTGCAATGAACTTGTCTATATAAAAACAAGGAGATGTGGTATGATTGCCAATGAGACCACTATCAATCATAGTTCTGTCTGTTCTGCTGTGACTTTTATATATATAACTCACCTCTTCTATTAAGGAATGATTTGATATTTGGACTAACACTTTATAATGATGATTGTACTGTGTAGTCACCCTCTGTGAGATAATACTTTGAAATTTAATAACTCCACTTGAGAGCATGAAATTTTTAGTCAATGTCTATTTAGGAAGGGGTGCACAATATGCATGCAATTTCTTGTTCAGTTAGTTATCGATTCAGAATTACTGATTTTTTTTTAATTTATTTGTAGTCTGTCTATACATATTTACCAGATAAAATCAGCTGTGTTGTTTGTAAGGGGAGACAACTTCTGATTATTTTATATATTTGTAGTCTGTAGATATATTTTACCAGATAAGATTAGGTATGTTGGTTGTAAGGGGAGATAACTACTGATTATTTTATTTCTTTGTAGTCTGTAGATTCATGTTTACCAGAAACAATCAGCTGCATTGGTTTAAAGGGGAGATAACTACTGATTATTTTATTTATTTGTAGTCTGTAGATACATATTTACCAGATCTAATTAGCTGGGTTGGTTTATAGGGGAGATAACTACTGATTATTTTAAATATTTGTAGTCTGTAGATATATTTTACCAGATAAGATTATGTATGTTGGTTGTAAGGGTAGAGAACTACTGATTATTTTATTTCTTTGTAGTCTGTAGATACATATTTACCAGATCATCTAAGTAGGTGGGTTAGATTAAAGGGGAGATAACTACTGATTATTTTAAATATTTGTAATCTGTAGATATATTTTACCAGATAAGATTAGGTATGTTGGTTGTAAGGGGAGATAACTACTGATTATTTTATTTATTTGTAGTCTGCAGCTACATATTTACCAGATCTAATTAACCAAGTTGGCTGTAAGGGGAGATAATTACTAATTATTTTATTTCTTTGTAGTCTGTAGATACGTATTTACCAGAAACAATTAGCTGGGTTGGTTGTAAGGGGAGTGAACCCAGGTACAGAGGATACCCATGTTCCATGTGGACACTGTTTCATACACTTACAGCCAATGCTTACCTCATTGGAAAAAACAGTAAGTTTCTGATATTTTTATAATGTTTCAATTTGGTAAATAAAGTAACTAAACTTTATTTTGTTTCAGCATAATGATTATATGATTCATGGTTTTCTTCTTAACTCTTCTTATAAGAGGGTCTGGAGTGGGGACATTTCTGTATTCTTTTAGTAGTACATGTAAAGGTCATTGTTCTCGTATGTTTATTTTTTTGGCCTATTATTCTCTATTCTTTATATATTAGTACCATATTATTCTCTATTCTTTATATTCAGCTCATTTTTAGTCCCCTACAGACGAAGTCGAAGGAGACTTTAGGTTTGCACTCCGTCCGTCTGTCTGTCTGTCTGTCCTTCTGTGAGTCCGGCAAATCAGTTTTCCACACTTTTTTTCTTCATGCTTGAAGATATTGATTTGATACTTGGTATATTGTTTTATCATGACAAGTTACAGATCAAGTTCGAATTTTGTTCCGGTTTGATATTTTGTGCAGAGTTATGGTCCTTGGACTTAGAAAATTCACTCAAATATTCAGTTTTCCGCACTTTTTTTCATCATTCTTGAAGATATTGATTTAATGATTGGTACATTGTTTTATCATGACAAGTTACAGATCAAGTTTGAATTTTGTTCCGGTCTGATGATTTTGTGCAGAGTTATGGTCCTTGGACTTAGAAAATTCACTCAAATAATCAGTTTTCCGCACTTTATTTCGTCATGCTTGAAGATATTGATTTGATAATTGGTATATAGTTTTATCATGACAAGTTACAGACCAAGTTTGAATTTTATTTCGGTTTGATGATTTTTTGCAGAGTTATGGTCCTTGGACTTAGAAAATTCACTTAAATTATCAGTTTTCCGCACTTTTTTTCGTCATGCTTGAAGATATTGACTTGATATTTGTGATATAGTTTACACCATGACAAGTTATAGATCAAGTTAGCATTTTGTTCCAGTACAATTAGTTTTTAACTGGTGGGGGACTATGTATTGCCATGCAATACTCTCAGAATGCTTGTTTCCTCTATTTTTTTGCCCAATAGTCTCTATGCTGTAAACTCCATCCAGATATTCTCATAACTGTCAATCTGGAGTTAACATTTACAGATTGTGATACTATGGTAACTTTTGGTATTTCAATTGATATGTTAGTTACCAGTATTATATTCAATATAAACCACTTGATAAACTTCTAATAAACAATTTTTATACGACCGCAAAAAAATGTTTGTGGTCATATATTGGTATGACGTTGGCGTCGTCGTCGTCCGAAGACACATTAGTTTTCGCACTCTAACTTTAGTTTAAGTGAATGGATCTCTATGAAATTTTACCACAAGGTTCAATACCACAAAAGGAAGGTTGGGATTGATTTTGGGGGTTATGGTACCAACAGTAAAGGAATTAGGGGCCAAAAATAAGCATTTTTGTAACTTCCAGACATAACTTGTGTGTTAGTGTATGGATCTCTCTGACATTGTACCACAAGGTTCCATATCACAAAAGGAATGCTGGGATTAATTTTGGGGATAATTGCCTCAAAAATTAGGAACTAGGGGCCAAAAAAGGGGCAAAAAACAAGCATTTTTCTAGTTTCATGACAATAACTTGAGTGTAAGTGTATGGATCTTTCTGAAATTGTACTACAAGGTTCCATATCACAAAGGGAAAGCTGGGTTTGAGTTTGGGGGTAATTGCCCAAAACGTTTAGGAATTTGGGGCCAAAAAGGGGCCAAAAAACACATTTTTCTAGTTTCCAGACAATAACTTGTGTTCAAGTGTATGGATCTCTCTGAAATTGTACTGCAAGGTACCATACCACAAAGGGAAGGCTGGGATTGAGTTTGGGGTGATGAATCATAAGGGGGTTCAAAAAATTTGGGGGGAGGGGATTTTTTTTTTTTTCCTTTTTTTTCTTTTTTTCCTTTTTTTTTTCTTTTAAAATTTTCCATTTTAAGTTGGTTATTTCTGATTTATATTTAAAAGCAAATAATAATGATATGGTAGGAGATACACCAAGGCTTCCAAAACGGTCATATATGCCGTACATTTGTATAATGTCCGGTAAAAGTCCGGCTGGGCAAAGCATGAAACGGTCATCTACTTTTTAGTTTTCAAGGCTTTAAGTACAGGTCCGTGTAAGAATCAGGCAAATCAAATAAAAACTGATAAGTCCATATACACGGAATATGGTGAAATTTTGGGAACTTTGTAATCCATTAATAAAGGTGACAAAACCATAGTATTACATCAATGTATGCCATATTTGTCTAGAAAAAAATAGATAAAATGCATTCGCCGTCTGCATAGACAACAGTGTAACGCATTGAAAGTAGGTCAACTTCAATATTGATTTTCTGTAAACAGCAGATGCTTAGCACACATATTTTTTTATATTTGAAATCATTTGATACATATCTTCTCTTTTAATGAATAAAAAGTTTGGAAATTTTTATTTGAAAAATGTTATTCACTAAAGTAAAATAATTGAAACGCGTCATTCACCGTGTTGTTTATCTCCCTTGCTTGGTTACCTCTTTTCAAAAAAGGCGCGTAGTCTGCACAACAACAATAACAAATGGCAGACGAGTCGGTCCCGCCCGACATGAAGTGCAGCCTTAGTCTGTTTTCAACCCACACATGCGGGTATTATCCTGTATATAAACAGGATAAAAGTGTAAGAAAGCTGGCGGAATGTGACAAAGACATAACGCGGCATTTGCAAGATCTTAGACTGTGTGGAGGTCACCAAACTATACATGAACCAGCCGTTGGCAGTGAAGGAGAGTTGATAGCACTGAGATGTGGTATTTTCAGGTAAATGAATATGCTGACTCTGTCCCCACACTCTGTTTTCAAAATAAGTAATACCGCTAATACCAACAAAGATAGAATAAGTAATAACATCCATGATAAACATCATCATTCATGACATATGACGATATGTTCATGACATAAGGTGTATTTTGTTATGCCTCCCAGTCCCATCGGACAAACCACAGTCACTTGGGTTCTTAACTTGAGTCTTATTGGTAAATATGCAGCACACCCATCCATCAAGCTGTTTAGGGAACTATCATTTGATTGTTTAGGGGTTGGGGGTGGTGCTAGGATGAAAAATTTTGTCCTGCATATTTTTTTTTTGTTATCTCTGTCTTGCCTTTTAATTTTTCACTCTATCATGTTTATTTGGTCGTGCCATTTTTTAATTAGTTTATCCTTTCTTTTTTTTTTACATAAGTTGTCACCCTGCCTTTTTATTTGACAGGTTGCACATCCTGATTTTTGTTTATAATCAAAACTTCCGACCTGCCTTTTTTTCAAATGTCATCCTACCGCCCCCACCCCCCCCCTAATAAAAATCAAATGGTATCTCCTCAAATCATTAGGAACAGTGTAGATAGTAATATTTACCCTATCCTGCTTAAAAAAAACGAAGAAAGAAAAAATCTGAACACAAACCCGAAACTCACGTGTCCATACCGACTGACGGAGGGGCACATGTATAGATATAGGAAGATGTGGTATGAGTGCCAATGAGACAACTCTCCATCAAAAAAACAATTATAAAAGTAAACCATTATAGGTCAATGTACGGCCTTCAACACCGAGCCTTGGCTCACACCGAACAACAAGCTACAATGTATAAAGGACCCCAAAATTACTAGTGTAAAACCATTCAAACGGGAAAACCAACGGTCTAATCTATATAAAAAAACGAGAAACACATATAAATTACATAAACAAACGACAACTACTGTACATCAGATTCCTGACTTAGGACAGGTGCAAACATTTGCAGCGGGATTAAACGTCTTAATGGTACCAAACCTTCTCCCTTTTTCTGAAACATATGTCCATGTTTAAAATTATGCAAGCGTCTTCTCATTGTTGTATCATTTTCAAATAAAAGACAAGAGATTAAACATAGTTATAGTTTTCTTCAATGATTCCTAAATGTAACGGTCATTTTGGCGTGACGTCATATATCAAATTTTGTTAGACATCACTGACGTTGAGCTGTCGTATTTTCTGGCAGCAAGAGGGTTAAAGCTCTAGCTTGGGACAAATTTCCCCAATGGGTTATAAACATTTTAAGATTTACTGTGCAATTCATTTGATATATTTTTTTGTAAAATATTACAAAGTGCAAATGATTACATGTACATGTACAAAATGTATTTAATTTATGCAATAACTTGTGGTGCTCTTGAGACTTTTAGGCCATGAAACCATTCACCCTTTTGTCGTTTCGCTCATACACCATTCCCAATTGGCACTGGCTACGGTTACATGGAAATGTAACAGTAATAATTGAGTCTACGGTTACATTGCGTTATTGTTACATGATCTTACATTTTTGCACTTCCAAATGTATGCTGCCAGCTTGGACTATACATGTATATATTAAAATTAAACTTAAAAACTTCTATTTATATTTTACAATATTGCATACAATTTTTATTTTTTTATATACAATGTACAGTATGTTGTTTTGGGAGCGACATGTTATAGTCTGACGCATTTTGGTGAAACCATAATCTAAGCAGCCATCACAAACGAGTGATGCAGCAATTTGCACGTCTGTATTGCATACTGTACAATTCCATTCTGCAATATCCCATTATGAAAGTTAAAGCAACTTTCAATGTCTGTCAGCCCCCAAGGGTGACTGGGGAATAGAAGTATGGTCACCATTGGTCTTCCTCCGACCGGCAGTAAAACCCGTGCTAAAATGGGGCATCCGTTTGGCTGTGCGGGATGTACAAATTTGCAGCCACGTCAGGTCAGAATGGGGACGTTAAATCTAATGCCTCGTGTAAAGAGAGTGCCACGCTCTTTGCACGTTAAGAACCCTTGCAACAACTCTTTGAGGGGTCCGTAGGTGACCTGTTGCAAGGCTAAATTTCTGTCCCTATCCAATATACCCTCATTTCCCGTGGCAGGCTAAATTTCTCCGACCTTAATCCCGGACGCCCCTCTTACAGAACCTACCTATTGTATTTATTATTAATTTGTTCTCGCCCTGAATATGTATGAAATATTTGCCACTGGACGTTAAGCAACCAACAATCAATCAATCAATGTTTGTCATGTTTCAGGTGAAAAATATTTTTCTACTCTTTCGATGTTTATATTTTTATCCATTTGTTTTTTTGGAAGCATTTGAGTTTGTAATATGATTTCATTGTCGTCCATAATTGATTTAATGTTCACTTCCGATTTCAATATCCAGCTTAGCATAGCTGGGGAAAAACAATAAAACTGAAAAATACAAGTCAATTGTCACAGTGATTGATGTCAACATTTGCCGACATGTTGAAACTGGTGGAATCAGTGTTTTCAATTTTAGAGTAAATTTTCAGATATTTTGTGATTGTAATTTCATTCTTATTGGCGAAAAAAAATAATCAACAAAACTACAGAAGGTTAAAGTTTAATAAATCTAGCGTACATTGAAGATCATTTATATAATGTTCAATAAAGCAATGTAACCGTAGACACAAATATTATTGTTACAGTCATAATTAATCGGATCCTTACCCAACCTTGTATTCCAGCAATTAGTCTCCAATGTAACCATAATATTTTTATTATTGTTACATTTCCATGTAACCGTAGCCAGTGCCTTCCCGATTTGGTTGGTTCTGTCCATTATACTTTTTTACTAAATGTTCTTTCAATGTTTTGAATACAACAATAATAGGCAAGTAATTATTTCTGGACATATATACGTGTATTTGATACAGATTTTTTTTATAAAATTCAAAAAGATAATTGGTATGATGCAGAATGTGGAAAATGTCACAGTTTGCATTTCGGGCCCATTTATATCTGACTATGCAGTACATTGTAAATGTTTTGCTCATTGTTAACCGCCCTGACCTATAATTCAGTGATTTTTTTTAGTGTTTAGGGGACGGGGCACATGCAATTGGGAATAAAAGTTCATGAAATGTTGGCTTTGGGGAAAATATATTAGTATGGTTATTCTGAGGGCACACTGCACAATGTTGCTTCAGCATGTGCAACTTTCTAGGGGGGTCTTGGGTAAGGCCCCCCCACCCCGAAAATTATGAAAAATTAGGTGCTAAATCATGCATTCTGAGAAGGAATAACTGCATAAATTGCAAACAAGATTCAAGAGATTTGTAAACATAAAACAATGATACGACACCAACAAAATCTCGCAACAATGTAATCACAGTTGGGAATTTTACAGCTGAAAATTGGGAAAAAAAGAGCATATTTCTCATTGGGAATGGGACCCAAATTTTGACCCTAAATGAGGGTTGGAAAATCCCTGACCTATAATTAATCTCTAAGTCATTTAGTCTCTTGTGGAGAGTTTCATAACTCTCAATATGGTGAGTCTGTGAGTCCTGGACTCATGAAAATTTGAAAAATCTGTAATGAGAACCCCGAGTTATTTCATTGGCAATCATACCACATCTTCCTGTTTGTATAACATATATAAGCTTCTGCTCAGCTTGGGACTGTTTAGCACTCTAATTTTATAACCATTTTTAGCTCACCGGGGCCCTAAGGGCCCCATGTGAGCTTATGCCATCACTTGGCGTCTGTCATCGTCGTCTGTTGTCCTCGTAAACTATTTCAAAAAACTTCTATGAAACTACTGGGCTAAATACCTTCAAACTTAAATAAATGTTCTTTAGGGTATTTAGTTTATAAATTGTATCCGAAGTTTTGATCCATCGACAAACATGGCCGCCATAGCTAAAAATGGAACATAGGGGTCAAATGCAGTTTTTAGCTTATATCTCAAAAACTAAAGCTTTTAGAGCAAATCTGACATGGGATAAAATTGTTCAAGTGGTCAAGATCTATCAGCTATGAAATTTTCAGATGAATCGAACAACCCATTGTTGGGTTGCTGCCACCGAATTGGTAGTTTTAACAAAATTTTGCAGTTTTTTGTAATTATTTTGAATATTATTATAGATATATATAAACTGTAAGCAGCAATAATGTTCAGCAAAGTAAGATCTACAAAAAAGTTAATATGACCATAATTGTCAATTGACCCCTTAAGGAGTTATTGCCCCTTAAAGACAATTTTTACACAATTTGTTCATCAAGTTTGCTAACATTTAAAAATCATCTCCTCTGAAACTACTGGGCCAATTACCTTCAAACTTTAACTAAATGTTCCTTAAGGTATGTTGTTTATAAATTGTATCCGAAGTTTGTATCCATTGACAAACATGGCCGCCATGGCTAAAAATAGAACATAAGGGTCAAATGCAGTTTTTGGCTTATATCTCAAAAACTAAATCTTTTAGAGCAAATGTGACAGGGGTAAAATTGTTTAATTGGTCAAGATCTATCTGCACTAAAATTTTCAGACGAATCGAACAACCCATTGTTGGGTTGCTGCCACCGAATTGGTAGTTTTAACAAAATTTTGCAGTTTTTTGTTATTATTTTGAATATTATTATAGATATATATAAACTGTAAACAGCAATAGTGTTCAGCAAAGTAAGATCTACAAAAAAGTTAATATGACCATAATTGTCAATTGACCCCTTAAGGAGTTATTGCCCTTTAAAGACAATTTTACACAATTTGTTCATCATGTTTGCTCTTATTTAAAAATCTTCTCCTCTGAAATACAGGTGAGCGATTCAGGCTCTTGAGAGCCTCTTGTTTTTTATTTATTAAACATGACCAATTGCAACTTTATAATTTTTAATTGTATACTTATCACACTGACAATAAAAAAAACCATTGATAAGTGTTATCTGCAATAAACTCCAAATTAATTTTCAAAAACTACTTATTTATAGCTCACCTTGCCCAAAGAGCTAAGTGATCGTTTCTCATCATTTGGCGTCCGTCATCCGTTTTCGTTTCATTATCTTTGACAAAAGTCTTCTGCTCTGAAACTACTGAGACAAATTTTACCAAACTTATATTAAATTTCCCGGGAGGCCCTCTTAATAAAAATATTTTTTGTTTAAGCTTAAGAAAACTACAACCTTCTAACAGGAGACCTATTAGTCAAGTATCATTTTGGTATTCGATACTCAGTACAACCGAGTGATACACGAGTACTCGTTTGCATCCCTAAATAAAAGCAGTTCAAAAAATGAAATCATTCTTTTTTTCAAGGTTCGACCAAGAAATGACTGTTTGTCCATACCACAGATACAGTCTAGGAATAAATTGGAAACCAAGTAAAAAGTGTATCTTCCCGTTGCATAAAGGAAATCAGCAGCCACAAAAAGGAGTGACTCCATTAATGAGCAAAACTATCCTTAACAAGTTTGGATGTCTTCAACCTGTAGGTTCAGGTAAAACATTATTTATTATTGCAAAGATATCTAAATTGCTGGTCATGAAGAAAATCCACATATTTGCACTTTAGTGCAATGTAAAATCTTTTAACTGATGTCTTAGGGACAACATTAAAAAATCAATGAAGGATAAAAAAACTTTAATCAAATAGTTTTTTTTTTGGGGGGGGGGGGGTAAAAATTGCTGCAAATTTGTTTATCCAACATCACTTTTACATATATCCATAATGGTCTATCAATTTTTCCCAAATTCAGTTAAGGGGGGGGGGGGGGGGGGAGGTGTCAGTGAAAAAACTATGTGAATTAAGTTTTTTATCCTATATTGAACTTTTGTCTTTTAATGGTGTCCCTTAGCAAAAACAGCGCATTGAAACTAAATTCTAGTTATGGTTCAATGCCCAGTACACCAATGTATATAAAAATAGTAGAGGGGGCATTATATTTATGTAAATGTATAATTTTACTTTCTGAGCATGCTGAATGTAATCAAATGCACACTTTAATTGATATATTCTGACTTTGCAAGGGCAGGGTGTTATTTATAATTTGGATCATTATCCCACAGGATTTTTCTTTCATTAAAAATAATTATATATATTTTCAGGAATTTGTAATGGATGTAAGATAAAGTGTAAAGACCTAATTCCTAATACGCCAGAATGTTATAATGAGGTATGGTATTTGAAAAAAAATCTGATTTATGATGTTATGCAGATCTGACCGTTTACAGCACAATTTGACAGTACATTGGATGATTTTTTGTCGTCATACTCCTAGTTTTATTCATTATAGCAATTTCAATAGTCATTTCCTTTTGAATTTTAAAACCGTCTTGTTCACCATGAGAACCAAAGGTTGAGGTTTCAATAAAGGGGTCAAACCGAAGACTTTGAAATTTGTGCTGCTTCTACTTTTACCACATACTACATATATCTAAGTAGTGAGAACAATTTCAGTAAAAATAATGCTTCCGGGTATCTAAAGGGTCACATGGCTTCCTGTCCACTGTTACCTTGTGAACTAACAGGGAAATTACATTTTTCATTCATTTTTTATGCACATGACTGGTATATAAAATGTATATTATATTTCTTGTCACTCAGTAATGTATACATGTATGGAATGTATTAATTCATGCTGTTGTAATGATATTCCATAGATTTCAAACGTTTGTGTTTATTTTTCAGTGCTTTGATCAAGTTGATACAGAAGAAAGTACATATGCATCTGGATACAAATTGAGAGAACGTCCTATCCAGCAATTTGATGATAACGTGAGTAGTACTTCATTAATTTATAGAGAAAAAAGTGGCTGCAGTTACTATCAAAGAGTATTCAAATATTATTGGAGCTAGTCCTCCGAGACAGCTTTTTTAAAAAGAAACCATTGTATGATTGTGTGCAATTATTTGTAGACCTAATTAAACTGATGTTTACTGGTATATGTTTTAGTGAGTTAACTCACAGTACTAGTTCTAGTTTAATTTTATCCTTTTCATGAGTTGTGGAACTTTGACCATATTTCTTGCAGCAACTTTTATTGCACATTATTTTATTCATAGATATAAGAAGATGGGGTATGAATGCCAATGAGACTACTCTTCATCCATGTCACAATTTATAAAAGTAAACCATTATAGGTCAAAGTATGGTCTCCAACACGGAGCCTTGGCTCACTTCAAACAGCAGTTATAAAGGGCCCCAAAAATTACTACTGTAAAACCATTCAAAAGGGAAAACCAACGGTCTAATCTATATAAAAAAGGAGAAACACTTTTGAACCACATCAACAAACTACTGAACATCAGATTCCTGACTTAGGACAGGTGCAAACAATTGCAGTGGGTTTAAACGTTTTAATGGTACCAAACCTTCACCCTTATCTGAAACAATAGTGTAACATCACAATATTTAAAAAATTTTAATTTATGAAACTACAGCATATCTTGATATGCCTTTGTTTATAAATGGGAAATATGACGATTTGAGGGTTGAGATCTAAAAAAACCTGTTTAATCTCACCAAATTTTTGCACCTGTACCTAGTCAGGAGCTTCTGGCCTTTGTTAGTCTTGTATAATTTTAGTTTCCTTTATATATTTTGGAGTTTAGTATGACGTCCATTATCACTAAACTAGTACACATTTTTGTTTAGGGGACAGCTGAAGCACGCCTCCAGGTGTGGGATTTTCTCGCTGTGTTGAAACCCATTGGTGGCCTTTAGCTGCTTTTCCCCTCTTTGGTTGGGTTGTAGTCTCTTTGACACATATCCAATTTCCATTCTCAATTTTATTGTTCATCAATGAAATTTATATTTTCCCAAGGGCATGGTTAAAAGTTAAAACCATTTGAATGAACATTTGATGTAGGTGAAAATGAACTCTTATTTTAATTTTTTGTTACATTTATATACACCTGTTTATTGGAATGTATTTAGATTTTACATAAATTACTATAATTTAAAAGGTCATTTATCATTTCAGTACTCTGATGTGACACAGCAGTCCCAGTCTTTATCGCAGCCTTTGTCCCAAATATCTAATTGGAGTGATGAAATGGAAACCACTTTGGACCAAGCAAATGCAACATTGAAAATACTAAATTGTAAATCAAGTCCGTTAAGAGGACAGTTACTTTCTGATATATCTTCCCTGAAGGACAGTACCATTCGCTATTATAAGCGTAAAGCAGATGAATCTGTAGATTCTGTACTTAACATTATTGCTCCAGGGCAATCAAAGGAGTTAAAAAAACTTATAATGTCAGAACCAACAAAGCCTCCAACAGATGATGAGCTCACTGATACCATTTTTAAACTGTATGAAGAAACAGCAGACAACAAACTTCAAACACAAATTCTATCAATTGTTTCCCAAAAAATGACAAAAGGTGAAATTATGCAGCGTCTGCCTGACATAACAAAATATAAAATAGACCAAGCAAGACTGCTATCAAAATCTGGGTCTGGTTTGGTTATTGAAGAAAAAGTAAGGAGACCTAGAGAGCGTATGGATCAGGAGAAAATGCAACATGCTTTAAACTTTTTTTTCGATCCATCATTCGTACAGATAGTGTCATATGGTACCAGAGAATTGTCATTTGACACTGGAGAAAAAGTGACAATTCCAGACGTTGTGAGAACATCTTGTCATTCACAAATTGTGCAAATGTATTTTTCTTACTGTAAAGATCTCAACTTTGAACCCCTTGGAAAGAGCTCACTTTTCAAAATTCTCACAGCTTGTGCAGCCTCACAAAGAACCAATCTTCATGGCCTTGATAATATAGCAGCTGAAGGTGTTGAAGCTTTTCAATCACTTCATGAATTTGTCAACAATTTGAAAAAAAAATCTTTTATTTCTTCCGATATTCACACTGAATTGACCACAACTTTAACCGCATCCCGTATTTATCTTAAGACCGACTTTAAACTTCATATCAACCAATCAAATATGTGTGCAGATCACTGTATAAACTGGAGTTTAAGTGATCCAAAGGATGTACATTTTCAAAACACTTGTGATCACATTCATTGCTTGCAATGTGATAGATGTCAACTATTGAAAGATGTTCATCTTAAATTGTGCAACATTGTTGATACCATGAATGATGGAGATGACAAAGAAGAATTTTCAAAAGTGATCGAAGATGCAATGATGGTGATATTTGATTGGAAATCACACATTGTAAGAACTGTCAACCAAGACCAATTTAGATTGGATACCATAGAACATCTTGAAACAGATAAAGCTTTACTGGTTATGGATTGGGCCATGAAATTTTTACCCTTGAAATATCGTGAGAAACAAACTGACTGGTTTGGTCAAAGAGGGAAGAACTGGCATGTGATTGTTTGTATATACAGAGAAAAAGATGGATCAATTAATGTAAGTGCATATGTACATGTATGTAATACAAGGTTAAAATACATTGATGCATTTTACAGATGTGGCTTGATATATACATTTTACATGCTATGTCACACATGTAAAAAAAAATCGTTTGTTTATTGACATGTACAAATTGTTCATGCATACACATGTATTGCCAATGCACTCTGTAATTACCGAAAAGGAAGTATTTTATAAATTTTCATGCATATCAATCATATGCTTTTTATTTTGAAACAACCAACAAATATAAACAATATTACATGTCAGAATTAGCTCAATTTTAAAAAGTTTGAAAAAATTGTTGACATGAAAATTTGACATCAATCATGATAAAATTTTAACCAATTATTTGCTAAGAACTAATTTTTCATTAGTGTTAAGAAATATATGTCTCTCACCAATTGTGAAACGTGAAAATAGTGTAGAAATAAAATTATTCAGTGTTCGTTTAAGATTCTAATGAAATACATGAAATAGATTCTTATGAAATGAATATATAAGTAGTCTTTTATTTTAAATGAATTCAGTATCCAAATTTATAAAAATTGTATGTATACACTAAGTCTTGTGCATTTCTTTTTCAGCATAGAACTTTCACCCATGTTTTAGAATCTGTGAAACAGGATTGGTTTTGTGTGGCTTCACTTCTTGAAAATGTTATAATGACCATCAAAGATCAACTCCCTCAAACTAAGAAGTTAGTTCTGCGATCAGATAATGCAGCATGCTACCACTGTGGACATATCTGGTTATGCTTACAAGAAATAAGTAAAAGAACAGGTAACATATTACAAAATAATTTGGGCTAAGATAAAAGGAGAATAGGAGAAAACAATATCAGTATTAGTGGCACTAGTGTAATGTTCATCTAAATCTTTATTTTTAATAAGCACCTTGAGACATTGCTTTGGAAAAAACAACCTAGGGATAACATTCAATCTATATCTAAAAAATAACATAATTATAGTTATGGAAAAACTAAAGTAGTAAAATTGTTCACCATAACAAAAGCTATCCAACAAGAAATTTTCTGATGAATCAGACAACACATGAAGAGTTATTGCCCTTATTCTATTTATTTAGACATGTTTCATAAACTGATTGTATGTCCCCTGCCATAGCAGAGGGAGCTTAAAGTTTTACCCTTGTCTATATAAAAAAGAAGATGTGGTATGACACATAAATTAACAACTATAGGTCACTGTACGGCCTTCAACAATGAGTAAAGCCCACACCTCATAATCAGCTATAAAAGGCCTCGAAATGATAATGTAAAACAATTCACATGAGAAAACTAGCTGCCTAATTTATGTACAAAAAATGAACGAAAAACAAATATGTAACACATAAACAAACGACAACCACTGTACGTCCGTTCTCTAACTTTAGTTTGCCTTAACCAAATGTAATTAAACTTAAACACAATGCTTATTACCACAAAACACAATCAAGTTTGAATTTTGGTGGCGTCACTTTAGCCATTCTAGAATTATGCCCCTTTACAAATGGTAAAATTGCTAAATTTTTAATTTTCGTTCTCTTGCTGTAGTTTTCCTCAATCTAATGTAATGAAACTTATACACAATACTTAACATAAAAATCAGTTATTTTGTGTATATTTAAATTGAAGAGACTTCAGAATTTATGGCAAAGTAATGAATATCTTTTATTTCATAGGGATCAATATTCAGGGATATTGCTATTCTGAGGCCCAAGCAGGAAAGTCATATTGTGATTCAAAGATAGCACATATGCGCACAAAGATGAAAAGTTGGGTTGCAAGTGGAAAAAACATCGTAACAGCAGCTGATATGAAAACTGCACTTGACTCTGGAACAGGTAAATTAACAAAATGTACATTGTTCAAACAGAAAACATAATTACAACACAAACCCACTGTGAACTAAATGTGCCCTGTTAAGATAAGCAAATCCGGTTCAATACACAATTTCAGAGACAGTTTGTTTCTCAGAAGTAAATTTCATTTCACAAATAAATCTGACATGATAATGTCAAAATGTTAGACTTGACTATATTAAAAAAACAGTGTCTTCATGAAATAACAACAAAAGGCTGAGGCTCACATACGCATGTAAAATCACCCATATTAAATAGAAAATTTTTAAAGCATTGGTTAAAATGATCTATGGCATGTTGTTTGAAGCCCCATGTATGATATTATATTGACTTAATTTTTTCTGGTCTGTGTGTCCATCTGCTTGACCGTTTGTCTGTCTGTTTCTTATTTGGTCAAAGTTAGTTTGATTGAAGTTTTTAGTCACATCAGCTTGAAACTTAGTACAAATGATCTTGATGGTGGGATATTTTCAAATTATATGCCAAATTAGAAGCATATTATCTGATTATAGAAATTTAATTAACGTGAAAACAGGTTTTTTTTCAGGTTAAAGTTTTTGGTCATAGTAGAAAGTTTTAGTCAGATTAGCTGGAAATTTAGTTCATAATTTCCTTATAATATATAAAAAGAAGATGTGGTATGATTGCCAATTAGACAACTCTCCAGAAGATACCAAAATGACACAGAAATTAACAACTTTAGGTCACCATAAGGCCTTCAACAATGAGCAAAGCCCATACCGCATAGTCAGCTATAAAAGGCCAAAAAATGACAATGTAAAACAATTCAAACGAGAAAACTAACGGCCTAATTTATGTATTAAAAATGAGCGAAAAACAAATATGTAACTACTTTTTTTACTTTTTTTAAAATTGCTTTTTTTTCATCAAAAGATCATATCAAATAATGTACACACATTTTGTTGAAGTTGAAAACATGACCTTTGAATTAGTTTATAATTCCCCTCATTATTGTTTCTTTTCACAGGTGTTGCTGGATGTCAAGTCTCTGAATGTGTAATAGACACCTCAAAACACAAACTGATAACACACAAGTTGAAAGGAATAAATGATTTTAATGAGTTGCAAGTTGAAGAAGATGGTATACTACTAAGGAAAGCCTACAACATCGGCAAAGGAAAATTTATTCCTAATGCATCCTTAGACCAAATGGGTTTTGGTAAACAGCAGGAAAATGAATCAGGATGTGTGGTAATATCAGGATTCGATTTACCTGTTAATATAACTGGAAAAATCAAAACACATAAAACAGTTCCTACAGTTAATCTCCTTGAAGGACCAGAAACAGAAATAGAAAATGATGAAGACTCATCAAGATTATCCTCTTGTCATTCAGAAAGTTCTGATCAAATGCTGTTCTATTGCACAGTAGTTGGCTGTGTCAAAAGATTTGCTACCTTAAATGGACTTGAAAACCATCTACTGATAGGAAAGCATTTTTTACAATTGCAACGGGAAACAACCTATGATAAAATCAGACACCAGTGGGCACAGTTGTGCAATGAAGTGGTCTTTACAACCAAAAATAAATCAACATTAACAGATGGGACTGAAAAAGAATTTTCCACAAGTAATATGGGATGGGCTTTAAAGAAAGGCAGGAGAATATCAAGATTTCCTGAATCTGTTAAAAACTTTCTATTGGCCAAATTTGAAGAAGGAAATAGAACAGGAAAAAAGTGTAACCCAACCTCTGTTGCAGAAGAAATGAAAAAGATGAAAAACTCAAATGGGGAAAAAATGTTTCCAATTAATCATTGGCTTAATGCCAGTCAGATAACCTCTTACTTTTCAAGGTTATGTAGTAAAGGAACCCCTAATCCTTTAGTGAAGACTGAACTTGATGATGAAGATCTTCTTGCAGCTCTAATTGCCATTGATGAGGAAACTGTTATCGCTAATATTCAATAACTATTTACTCTTTTATTATTCTATACCTGTTATTGTTGTTTGGCTACATGTACAGTGTCATATAATTTTGAATAATGGGTAACATTTAAATTTTTAGTCTAACTAATATACAATTTTGGCATAAATTTTATAAATATTTAAAAAACATATCCATTTGTACCAAGAACTAGGATTTTTTTGTATGGTGCAAAATTTCTTTTAACAGTAATTATTACTTATAAGTGATATCTTAAAAAAAAATAAAAAAAAACATCTTAAGCTTATTTTAGCAGATTATTTTTTTTTGTGTGCATGTCTTATAAGTCATCATATTGTGTATTGGTTAAGCAATTTACTTATTCATGTTATTAAAACCGGTTTTGGATCAAGAAAATTTGTGGAGAAGCTGAATGACATTTAGTGTCTTTTAGGATGTACTTGAATAAGGTCTAGGAATTAGTGTCAGATGTCAAATATTTTGCCCCACAACACCTATTTTTCTTTTCAAATAAGATTTCAATAGCTCATTAAATGTCAGTTACCAAAATATGGTGGACTTCGGCTGTTGTGTATTCTTTGGTCGGATTGTTGTCTCTTTGACACATTCCTAATCCCAGTCCGCCTTTCCAGCAATTTTTAAAAATCCAAATATTTTGAAAAGGAGCTCCATAACCCATTAATATTTTTGCTTATTTTGTTTCTTAACTAATACTTTCCCGAACGAATAGTATCAATTTTAAATTCTTGATTTTTTTTAATTTCACCAAAGTACATCCTTAATGGCTTGAAAAACTTTAAAACATATTAAAAAGTTTGGGCTAAATTACAATCAAATTGTCCTTCAATCTGTCCATTTTTTAAACAAACATTTTTTGTTAAATTTTTCTCTGAACCTGTAGAATTGAAATATTTACCCTAATATGAGATCAACTGCACTGTAACAGTAATGAATTGTAATTTTTGTTATTTTTTTTTTTAACATTGTGCATTGGTTTGTTTGTCCGTTCGTTTTTCTGTCTGTCTGTCCTGCTTCAAGTAAAGTTTTTGGTCAAAGTAGTTTTTGATGAATTGTAGGTAGTTTTTGATGAATTGTAAGGCCTAAAAAATTGTAACTTAGTACACATGTTCCCTATGGTATGATCTTACTAATGTTATTGCCAAATTAAAGTATTGACCCCAATTTCGCAGTACACTGAGCATAGAAAATGATAGTGTGAGTGGGGTATCGGTGTACTATGGACACATTCTTGTTCAAAACAGTATATTAAACGAACATAAAAACATTTGTCACAAATTATTAAAGTACTAAGCAATCACTCTTTTGAATAGAAGCTTATGATACATATTTGAACAATGAAAACTAAGCATTATTAAAATATGTTAAAATGATTTTTCTTATACCATATAATTAATTTTTTTTTGGACAATTAAACATTTGAACAACTTATTATCTATTTTTCTTTTTATTCTTCACTTCCATGATCTCCAATTGACTCTGAGGTAAACATTGAATTTAAGTTCAATATTATCGATATACGAATAAGGGTGGTGTCACTTTATACATGTAATTTCACTAGATATGTCCTGTTCAAAAGGGAAAAAATGCTTAATACAAGAACATTGACTTTTGCATATTTACATATTGGGGAAGGGGAAAAAGGGGGGGGGGGGGAACCTTTGTGCCATGGACATCTGTTTCTTTATTTTACTGATTGTACCACTGAACAAACATTTTGTAGGAGTATCTGTTTATCTCATCTATAAATACCATAAAAATCAGTGTGGGAGACACAAAACATAGTAATCGTTGGCTGAAATTTCTTCATTAAAGTGGCTTGTGAGATGTGGATCAGTATATTGAGAAAATTATTTGGTTTTTAGAAATCATATCCTTCATTTATTTCAATTCAGATCCAATTGAAGCTTGCAAGGTAACAACACAATTTCTTGTGGACTATGGCTCATTACTAATGCAAATCATAACATTTTTTCCCCTTGGAAATAGTTTAAGCAACCCTCCTCCCCAATCATACATGAACACGCTATATATTGTTCCACTCAAAATGAAGAAAATTAACCCTTTAAACCCTGGTATATCATATGTATAGGAATTGGTACGACATTAGTGAATATTTCACTTAAATTGGATCAACATGGGGCGTAAAAATCATAAATAACATAAAAAAAAACTTAAAAATTGATGATTTTGATGGTGCTGCCACCTACAGCAGCAAAATATTTCCGAACTTTTTTTTGTTTAGATTTATTCTATAGGGCTTCTACTAAAAGGAAATATATAATAAAAGTGTGTATACTGTTGCTGTTTCTAAAAACAATTAAATGAAATTAGATGAAATTTGCATTTTTCGAAAATGCTTTTTGATCACATTTCCATGGTTACGGTTGCTAGGGAAGAAAATATTTGAAATCAATTTTCAATCTGTTTTCATATCACTATACATATGAACTCTATATAAAATATATTCTAGCAACAAAAATTAGATGATTAAAGCAAGATAAATTACTTTAAAAACGTGCCTTTTTGTAGTTTTCCTTGCTCATTTTCAGGGGCCTTCAAGGGGAAATTTTAAAATGATTTTTTTTAACACAAATTTTTTTTTTTTTTAAAAAGGATTTCATTTTCAAATTCTTATAAGGTATGTTCACATCTAGAATATGTTATTTGATCAATTTGCCAACATGGGCTTATCACTGTTTGCCTGATTCTTACATGGACCTGTACTTAAGAGACGGTCATTTTAAACATAATTTGCGATCTTTTTGACCCAACGTTTTGCCTTTAACAGCCACACATTTCCGGTCATAAAAGTGACATGATCATTAAGTACTATCAAAACAACCCCTACTTTAATACCTTCTCATTTTAATCAAGGCTAATTAGTTATCGAACAGCTGAAATTTACCTGTTCAGGTGACAGGTAAACTATTTTGAACCGGACATTGATCGGTCTATTCAAAGTTATTTTCTTACATTTCAGCGGTTTGCATCTAATTAATTTAGTCAAAAAATTTAAATTATCAGAAATACCAGTGTTCTCCACAGGCCCTTAAAGGACCGCGGGCCCGCGATGTATAATTTTTCACCGTGGTGGTATCGTTCTTACCGCGATGTATAATTTTTCTCCGTGGTGCTAAAATTTTCAGTTAAAAAATCGTAAATCGGTAAAGTTTTAAACGATTTGTTAAATCTTTTCCGTGCGGTATAAAATTCCAGGTGAAATTTGACCAGTTCAAACCAGTTCAACACATATTGTTTACACCACGTGATTGATTTACCTTTATGAGGTTAACCTTTGTTGATTGGATTTAACCGATGTAATTAACACTTTTTACATGATTCTTTTGTGTTTTAATTTAGAGATCATAACTTTATGATCAAAGATAACTATTTTAAGGCTTCACTCACCACCTGACAAGTCGGCAAATACTTTGTACACAAACCGTGTTGACCCGATAGTTGTACACACGGCGGTACATATTTTGTGCATTATAAAGTTAGCTCAATACTTATTATATAGTTTTATATGTCTCTGATTAAACCATGGCCAAATTTATCTTTAATTATGACATAGTTATTGCATGCTATTCCGGTTTCAAACTGTCAACAAGTAATTCAAAGGAGAAGGATCACATGACCCAGTTAGTTCACGTAGAATATTCAAGATTATTTACAATTAACTGCAATCTATTCTATTTTATAAATAAAATGCATGACTGTACCTTCAAACTGGATATCTATATCCATATGATCATTAATGAATAACAGAAGTGATCTTGCAATTTTAATCCATAAGCACATGTTAAATCTATTTATATCTACTTCCTGTCATTAAGGGCGGGAAAATAGGGAGACTTTGTTGTTGACATTGAATATGTTACTTATAGATCTATAGACCTAAGATAAATTTATAGATTTAGCAATTCTTTTGAAATGGATCATGACAAATAAAGATTTGGATTTCAGTGCAGTATTAAGTCTGTATCTATGTTTGATTATCACCAAAAACAAGAAAGGCTTATATTTACATGTTCATGAAATCTATGGCAAAATGTTTTAAAATTTATGAAAAATTTCTTTTTATTAAAATTTAAGATAGAAACTGGTTCAGATTATTACACAATTTTGTTTCTTGTTAATTTTATATCTCCTTATGACAGGAATCCTTTCACATACAACAACTTTCTTTCTAGAAACTAGAAAGGTTTTTTAAATTGAACATTTTTGTTCTCTTTTTAATCTGGGAACAGTATATCTAACAATATATATGTTCCTGTTTGAATGATATTTTATTTTTATTGATCATGGATTTTATAAAAGATTTAATTACTTTAAATTTAGATGAATATTATGTAATGAATCATGTTTTATTTGTTTTAAAAAAATATTAAAAGCATACAAACTGTTTATTGATCTTTTTAACCAATAATATTCTGACATAACACAGTACCACAGTATTAAAACTAAACAAGAGACATAAAAACTGCAGTAACTAGAAATAAAGCGACGCCACGCGACACAACTGGTTGTATGAATCATTTCACCAAGCTGTTCACACGCGTTACCCTGGTGCTATCCAAAAATCCTGGGGAGAACACTGAATACATTTAGAAATATGATTTGATCAAAAAATTAAAAAGGTGAAAATGAAAAATCGTTATAACCACGTTGTTTGAACTAGAGACATGTCTCTGTTAGAACTAGTACACGTGTGCTAACATGCTTAAATTGTCATTGATACCTTTATCTCACGTTTATTTCGAATATTTTCTTCAAGAAATAACGTAGAAAGAGCTTCTTCCACTCATTCACGCTTTGCAAACGTACACGGAATTTACGTATCGGTCTCTGGTCCATGTTTTACCATTGTCAAGATAACATCCGGTATATTAGATTTAAAAACGAAAGTAAAGTTTTTGACAACGTTATTTTGCACAAATAAAGAGTCTAAGGCAGATATAAGTACGCTGATGTTGCACACTTCGAATGATGCACTGCCAATTTAACAGTTTACGTCAGAACTTCGAATTTGAATCAAAGAAAGTTTAATATCGTTTTTTTTTTTAATGTCAATATCATTGGGATGGCCAACTCGGCAACTGATTACCATAATGGCCTTTTGTTTGTTTAGTCTTAAGGGATTAAAATCGGGATAATATATAAAATGTCCGGCTGGCTAAAAATAATTTTGGAAGCCCTGAGATACACACCAAACAGGATGTGTAAATTATTATATAATAAGTATTGTGCAATAGCAAGAAATTTTCAATTGCACAGTATTGCACAATAGCAAGAAATCTTCAATTGCACAGTATTGCGCAATAGCAAGAAATCTTCAATTGCACAGTATTGCGCAATAGCAAGAAATATCCAATAGTTCTTTGATATGCCGAATCTAACCGTGTATTTAGATTCTTAATTTTTGGTTCCGTTTTCAAATTGGTCTACATTAAGGTCCAAAGGGTCCAAAATTAAACTTAGTTTGATTTTAACAAAAATTGAATTCTTAGGGTTCTTTGATATGCTGAATCTAAACATGTATTTAGATTTTTTATTATGGGCCCAGTTTTCAAGTTGGTCCAAATCGGGGTCCAAAATTAAACTTTGTTTGATTTCAACAAAAATTGAATATATGGGGTTCTTTGATATGCTGAATCTAACCATGTATTTAGATTTTTGATTTTTGGGCCCCGTTATCAACTTTGTTTGATTTCATCAAAAATTGAATTCTTGGGGTTCTTTGATATGCTGAATCTAACCATGTATTTAGATTTTGGATATTGGACCATAATAGGTGAATGTCCAATTTAAAAAATAAAATTTTTAAGTTCTTAGACCACATTCATTCTGTGTCAGAAACCTATGCTGTGTCAAATATTTAATCACAATCCAAATGCAAAGCTGTATCAAGCTTGAATGTTGTGTCCATACTTGCCCCAACTGTTCAGGGTTCGACCTCTGCGGTCGTATCAAGCTGCGCCCTGCGGAGCATTTTATTATCATTTGAATCAAACACAATTATTATTGTTCATCAGAAATTAGTATCTTCGAAGACTCATTAGCTTTTGTTTTGTTTTTTTTTTCTCATATTGGAACTTTTTGTAAAAATTTTCTCTTCATTTTAGCCAATTAGGGTATTTCAGATATGGTTAAACAAACTTTACATACATCTTTTAAAAACCTTCACAAATGGTTCAAATCGACCTTTATATCAAATATTTCATATATCAGTATATATTTTTTTTTTTATTTTAGGTCCAAAATTTCTCTATGCAGAAGTAATTAATGCTATTACAGACTATATGAAATATTTCTTTGGTTGCAAAGAATGTGTCAAAAATTTTCTAAAAATGGCTGATAAAAGACAGATTTCCTCAGCATCTGACCAAGTCTTGTGGTTGTGGACTGCTCATAACAAAGCAAATAAAAGACTCCACGGTGACCAATCAGAGGACCCATTACATCCAAAGATTATGTTTCCATCAGAAAGAGTTTGTCCGAAATGCAGAAAAGGGATTGAAAAAGATGGCAGTACCCAAGATTGGGATAAAAAAGAAGTTTTAGAATTTATTGTAAAAATGTATGATATAGAAAATATTGTAAAAAATTCTTCTTCTTTCAACACAAAAAGTGATGTTAAAAAATCTCGAGTTGACTTAGATTGGTGGGAGAGGATGCAGAGAAGTAGAGACTTAGAAAAAATCAAAGAAATAAGACAAATGAAAAGACAAAAGTTAGAAGAAAAAATAAAATTGTCCGGTCAACATTTACCTGTCTCTAAAAAATTAGCAAGTAGTAAATACCTGATGGAAGAGAAACTTAAATATTCACCAGTTTTAAGTAGAGGTGATATGAACATGTGTGTATTGTTTTATGCCTTATGTATTGCGATTATAGGTTTGTTGTATTACCATTTTGTAAGAAGGAGGAAAATGAATCCATGTAATGGCTGCTCTAATCCTTAACCTTATGTGAAATTCGAAAAAATTATTTGTTCTATTTTGTTTATTTAGGGCAAATGTGTGTCCCACTGTCCTCAAAAAGTGAGAGAAAGTAAATAAGGAAAGGGGGTGGGTGTGTTATAACATTGTTTTTCGAACAACAAACATGTTAGATTTTTTTATTTAGTCTCATCAGGATTTTTTTTTGTGGAATCAATTGAAATCAGCACAAAGGTAGCTGGTGGAAGCTAATGCTTAAAATTTTAAAGTTATGAGTGTTTAAGAAATCAATGTCAAAGTTTAAATACCTTTATATTTTTTAATATTTCTGTTTCTTCAAAATATACTTTTAGGATTATAGGGACACTTAGCAAGAATAAGTTAAAAGTGCTAGATTATGATATGAATTAATTAATTGGTATCAAGATCTAGTCTTTTTTCCATGTCATTTTATATTGGATTATAAATGAGGTAAAAATACTATATTTTGCATTTGAGAATGGGTACTTTTTTCAGGGCTGGGGAGAGACATGGATTATATTGTATGATTAGCAATGACAATTGTTTCAACAATCTTAAAAAAGAATTTTAAAAATAGACATATAAAGAGGTTGAAACCGCTGAAAAAGTGAAGATTTATTAAAATGTTATAAGTAATAATCAAGTAATAATCAAGAATAACACGAAACCTTTTGTCTTTTTTTTTTTAGTTAAATGAAATTGAAATCAATGTTTCATATATAAATGTGTAAAACTAAAGAGAAATGAGTGTTTACTGTTGATTCGTTTATTTTTCCTTTGTACTAAATTTCATGGATTGAGGAATAATCATTCTTGTGGAATCTTCATTTTGTTGTTTTTTCAAATTTTGTATACAAACCCTATAGAAAATTTATTCTTTGTTAAACATATAATTTTGACCCAGAAAATTCTAAAAAAAATAGTCCCTTGGAATAATAATGATTCCACTGATGCTTCAGAATTAAGTGCAATATATTTATAGATTTTAATGTTACCTCTCAGAAAAACTTGTGTTTGACTGTGGATTCAAATATTTTCATTAGGAACAATTTTCGTGGGTTGAATAAAAAATAATTTTGTGGATGTTTGATTTTCATGGTTTTGTCAAAGTAAGCTAACAAGCTAAACTAAATAGTTTGAACATCCATAAACATTCAAATTTGTAGTCTACCTATATACAGGAAATCGCACGACTTATAATGAATCAATAGTATGTACCATTTTAAAAATTGATGGACCACATTTTGGCATTTGTAAATTTTTTTTGGGGGGTGTAAGTTTAGAATTACTTGAAAAGTAAGGTTTTTTTTACATGGCTTTAATCAGTATAACATTCCAAAAACTTCAACATTTCCATTTGAATGTATTATATTTATAAGTATGTATGACTTTTGAATGAAGTTTGATTCTTTTACAATTTGTCTATTTTATTTTTGATTTAATTTACATTCAAGGTTAATGTTGAAAAATGGACTTACATTGCATACAGTCAGTAGTCAATCAATATTTATTATTTGTAGGATTTTTTTGGGGGGGAGGGGCAGGCAGGATTGCTGATTTAATGAAAATCTTACTTGAAATGGCTTCAAAAGTTAGATGCATTTTCTAAAATATAATTTTTGAATGAAATATGCAAAGTAAAGACACAGATTATGAATATTTATGAGGTTCTGCATTTTTAAATCAACCTACAGCCTACACGATAAATAATATGTATATAGTTCCTGTAGTGCTTTAACTTGCCAAAGTGGGGAAAAACATTGGGTTGAGTCCTGTCATTCAGAAAATGTCTAAACTTTATTTGGCATTATCTTAAGATCAGTGTATTTGTAAGGTATTCGTCAATTCCCCATTGAAGAATCTAAAATATCCCAAGTAATATTTTGAAATGCATATTACTAAAAACCATTGTGATTGGTTGGATAGTCTAAATCCAAGAATATTCAACCAATGGCAAGATGCTATTAAATTTTCATGTTAGTGTATAATGTTTACAAATGAACCATATTGTGTATGTCTACGCCAAACATGTAAATGATGAATTTTGCAAAAATATGGAAATGGTAACAACAGTGAGCAAAGAAAAAAGTATTTTATTAAAATGATTTGCTCAAGTTCATCAATAAATATATTTCAGGAAAACAAACAGTTCTGAAAGGTAGAGAATTTAATTGTTTTTTTTTTTTAATATAGAGTCTCAAACATTATATATCAAAATATAACTTACTTTTCCTATTAAAACAGTGTACATGAATGCAGAATAGCTATATTAATTCATAACATCATAAGGATGCTTGTAATTTTTCAAGCAACAACAGGACTCAAAACAAATGTGTTAATTACAACCTTAATGATAACATAGCCAAAAAACCTTTGTGGGAAACCTTTGCTTTGTAAAAATGGTTCAATTGCAATCAAACCATTATTATGTATGTCTATGCCATGTTAATGTAAATATTTTTGTCATGTGTAAATTTGTTTTAAATGTCTAAACTGCTCATTAGAAATGTTACATTCATAGTGTAACATTGAAGTAAACATTGAAATGATTTATGTTGAATTATATAAAATTATAATTTTACATAGAATATCAGCAATTTGGGATAGGAAAGTCGTTATTCCAGACTACATGAAATTGATAAAAGGACTGTCGGAACATTTGGTCAGAAAAAATGGCAATGCTTCATCTTACAGACCAAAAAAAAGTTGGACCAATAGTTTTTGTGGGAGAGGGGAATTACTGGTTTTCCTGAAAGTTGGTTTTGGATTCACCTTCTGTATCAGGAATTAAGCAAATGTGTGAAATATTTTTTTTTTCATATTTACATTTTAAATGTATCTGGTAATTAGCAAGTGCTTGATCATTATTTCGTGTTCATTTTGGCACGAAATTTGAGGTCAAACAGTTCACATGAATGGGCAAAATTTGTCTAACCTACAGCATAATTGTCCTATTTGTCTGACAGTCTGGCATAATATTGTGAAGACTGTGATCATTAGTATCATTCAGTTATAGAATATCCTTCTAAAATGAGGAAGTTTTTATAAATAATCTTAAAGAAATTTTTATTGAGAATGATTATAAACCAAGAAATAATTGAAATGGCTCAGCTGAAAACTTTATTTTAATGAATTGATTTCTATAATTATATATATGTCATCTTTAAAATATTTATTTGGAGTTTTGTTCAGTAATTTATTTTTTGCACCAGTTAAAATTCCACCTGTAGAATGCCTGGAGAGTGGACATGTCAGATATTGTGTATTAACATTTTTTTAAGCAGATTGGTTGACTTTCACTGATTTTTTTTTTGTATTTATATCATGTTACTACTTAATTGTTTTTAAGATCAAATCACATTGTATTTTATCATGCAGAAAAAAAAAATTGTAAACTTTAAAGTGATTAAGACCAGTCTATCAGATTTTCAGAATTTCTCCCAAAACTGAATATAAAGCATATGTAATATATGTAGTGCTAAGTATTTTTTTAATGAAAAGAATAAAAAAAAATTCATAGGATAATGATGAACACATGTCAGGAGTATTTTAAACGAATATTTATGAATAGAAATCAAACAAATGAATATTTGGAATCTGAACAAATCATTTTCAAGTACATTGTACTAAATATATTCTTTTGAAAAAATCATTTGTATAGATGTACAAAAAGTTATAAGATATCAATGCATGATTTCTTAGATATATCAGGGGCCTCAATGGCCCAGTGGTCTAAGTAGTCCAACTACTGCATCACTAGCCAGTCAACACTGAGGTTGTGAGTTCGAACCCTGCATGGGGCAGGTGCATTAGACTCCAATCTTAATTGACTAGGATTTCCTACCGAAGGTCGGTGGTTCTCTCTGGGCACTCTGGCTTCCTCCACCAATAAAAACTGACCGCCACGAAATAGCACAATAGTGTTGAAAGTAGCGTTAAACACCAATCAATCAAGCTTAGATATATCTCCTAAAATATTTTTTTTTTAAATGTAAAAAATTCTTTGAAAATTGTGAAAAGTAGATATCTGTTGGACTTGTTGAATTAATATTACACATGATTTGCTTACAGTGTGTTTAGGAAATTGAACATCAGTTTGGTTACTTATTTATATTTTAAGATAAAAAGCCATGGCAGTAAACGTTAGTTCAATTGCATCAAATTCCTTATTTGAAGATGTTGTCCATCTGATTGCTGTAGCTTACATGTTAATGTCTGCAAGAATGTATAATATTAAGCTTTAATTTAATGTTTAATCCATGTCTTTATAGTATCTTACCAGCAATAATCAAACACATTGTGTACATCATCACCTTTTTGTTATTTATTTTGGGAAAAGGGCTTTAGTCATTTTAGATCTTTCAACATCACCTGGTGTTTGTCATCCATTAACATTTCATTTAGTCTTCATCTTGAGATTAATTTTGAATTAATCAATGCTAGTAACAATTCTGTGAATATTGGTATAATAGACAATTTATGGGTTAATTTGTATTTCTGAAAATTTGAGGCTTAAAGTTTGTATTAAATTTGCATGGTTGATGGTTCTAAATCTGTCAACATTTGTTCCTGGAAAAGCCCTCTTACTTGTTAAATTCTACACCATACCATTGTGGTAAGAATATTTTGCTACAAGATAAGAAATGGGTTAATAGATCATTTGGTATTGACTTTAATGTTTCTTTAGTTTTTTTTTATATGGAAATTTCTTTGTCCCTTCTATTTAAACTTCAACAACTATTGTAAAGAATCATCAAGGAATATTTAAGATATAGCTGTTCCTTTTATTGCCAACACTTTCTTTAACTCGTTATGTTAAGTTTTCTGATAAGATCCATTTCAGAATTAGTACTTATGAAAATTCATTGATAACCACATCCTGTTACATTAGCATTTGAGCATCTATGATGCCCCTTACTCTCAGTCATGCTCTAGTGACTCCAAAAGTCAAATGTTAAGTTTCTGATTAGGTTGGTTTATGAAGATTTATTTATGATATATCATTTAGTCTGGCTGTTGTATTAGAATCCCATACACCTTAGTTTCTGGAAGAATTTGAGGTCCATTAGTCATGTTTCAGTGACTAAGGTTTTACTTTGTTAAATTTTATGATTAGTTGTGTTTATAAAGAAGCACTTAAAGGAGACCATTGATTTTAAATATACTGTTTCCGAAGCATCGATAGATGTCATCTATCAAAAGTATTAATATGGGGCTTTGTTCTCTTGAAAAAGCACCCCTTTATTTCAGTTTCAAGCTTTACTGACTTTGACTTTTTTACATTTTTTAAATGCTTATGTTTGTTATTAATTTTGTCTTAAAAGAACTTGTTTGTTATGGGTTTTGCTCATTGTTTAAGGCCATACAGTAACATAAAGTCCACATCAATTAACTACTGGTGGATAGTTGTCTCAGTGACAATCATAAGACATCTTCTTATTTTTATAATCAGGTCTAACTTTCAGTTTGGAAAAGATCCACAAAAATCCAAATAATGGTCAAAATACAAAACATTGGAAATTTTATTTCACAGTCTAGATTCTGGATAATATCTTTTTATTTTTGTATTGTAATAGACTATTGATCCTCCTTGCAAAAGAGAGACATGTTTTCAGATTTTCAAATATTGAAAATCTAAGGGCTAGTTTTTACAGTCACCCTTGACTGAACTACGGGTAATTCCATTGATCAGTTTTATGGTCAGGTAAGCCTTTAAAGTGATTTAAACTATCTATACTTCCATATACTTGCAGTAATGAGTATGTGTTATCATCTGCTGATCTCATCACCTTAAGGCAGATCGGAAATATCTTGGTGTAAAGAGCTTTATTTGTTAATATACACATGTGTATATAAAAAAAATCTGTTATTTTTATTGACATAAATCATTGAAGGATTTTAAGCATATCGAAATTTCTTTAGGCTGGAGTAGCTCGATATTACTAGATACAGATTTAGCTTTTATATTATGTACATGTTTTAACTTATTTCACTGTACTTTTATTTAACACAGTTTATTCACTGTTACAATACTTTTATACAGTGTTTTATTTAATAGTTTTGAGGGTGAAATTTATGCAGGTTTAACAATTGAAAATGTTTGCTAAAAAAAGTATTAAAAAAAAGATGTTTATTTTCTTGAGCATCTATCTTATGGACCATTCTTATTTGGATAACAACTCCTCAA